TTTTTTTTGTTTTAGTATTTTGAAGTTGACCAATTGTTACTATAAGCAATTAATGATTATAGATGATCTGCACCGTAATAAAAATAGAGATAAAATTTAAATTGTCCCGGAATTAAGAGATTCGACCAAAAGATCTTCAATATTTTTATCCCAACAAATAATCAATTAGTTAAATGCACAGCACTTTGTTTTTAGTAATAAACAAATATTCGATTCAATTAAATGCATATTTTATTTTTAGTAATAAACAAATCAATAATACGATCAAAAAAACAGGATAAATGGTAATAATAGTAAAAATGTTTTTTAGCATCTTTAGCTAATAAACAATAAACAATTCAATTGTCAATTAATAATAAAATGATGCTTTTCTTATAAAAAGTAAATAAATGATGTGATTTTTTCAATCTTTTCAAAAAAAATTTTATTCAATTTCCTTTCAATTTCTTTTGGCAAGTGATAACAGTATCATCATCCATTATAAGAAATCAAAAGAACATTTTAAACAAAAAAAAACAACTTTTCTTCTCAACCATTTTTTTTTCATGATTAGAATTTTGTCAATTCTGTTTTATCATTTCAATGTTAATACATACAAGCAAATGAAAAGCTCCCAATGATGACAAAGTAGATATTCTTGCAAAAAAATGCAAAAATGTTAATATAGAAACAGATATACCATATGCAGAATTTTCTAAAAATGCAGCTAAAAGCGAAGCAAATGAGGACATAAACAAAGAACAACAACAAAAAAAACCAAGTAAATATTTACCATTTATCTGCCTTTATTTTTTTAGGAATAGCACTTAATATATTTTTTTAAATATCTAGAACATCCTTGTCCAACTTGTAAGGGGACTGATCATTCACATTCTTCAAGCAACTGTTGTAAATTTCAAAAACATCATGCATCCAAATCTGTTCAAGAAATACAAATGATGCACAATAAAAACTGGACTTGGAGGATTCCTTAAAGATAAAGATCTTGAGCCTGCAATCCAAAGTGCTGTTGAAAAAATGACTCGAATTGTTTTTGAAGGCTCTTGATTGGCTAACCAAACAGCACTTTATCACGTGACCATTGAGGATCAATTTCCTTTTAACACAAGTGAAGATGCTTTCAAATATATGAGACAATGTTTCCAAGCTGTAACTACATCCCAAAATACCCCTGCCACCACTAATGAACCCATAATAAATAATATTCAAGATGCCATCTATACACAATATTGACCTCAAGGAATGAATTGGACAAATAAAAAATCATTAGGTCAACTTCTTTCCTTTGCTGCATGGCAATATGTTACAAATTGTCAAAACCACATAACAACAAATCTCAACAACCAACTTAAAAGATGGATAAAATATAAATTATTTAAGATTCATCAATTTCCTTTACCCAAAAAACACATCAACTTCATTATAAACCATTCATTACCAACTTGAAAAATCAAGACCTCCCTTCCCTCCCATCAAATATTATTGATAAACTCTCTACATCACATCTGCAATACCTCATTTACCTTACTACCTGCATTCAATATATTCACTTGAAAGTGCAACAGACACTATTCTGAAATAAAGCTCTTGATGATGTATCTGTAAAAGCATCCTGGTGGTCATATCTTTCAGGTCTTCATAAAATCCTGCACACCTTTACCAAGCATAACTGGGAATGTGGTCTTCATCTCTTCACACTTCTGCCTGAATACTCTTTCCAATAAAAGTACATATTAGTTGATACTAATGCTTTATATTATATGTACAAATCAATTGAAAAAGTTGATATTCTATGCAAGAGAATAACAAATAGTAATGGTGACAGTACAGTTGTTGCATTTGGTGATGATAAATTCTCACCAACATCATGTGGGCATGTTCCAGGCCCTATAAAAGAATTTCGCCAAGAGCTTTCTAGACACTGCAAAGTGGTGAACATTGATGAATTCTGTACTTCCTCAGTCTGTTCTTTGTGTGATGGGTGGTTTGATAAGCATCAAAAATTCTGGTCTGTCAGAGTCTGCAAATCAGTCTGTCTGACATATTGGATTTGAGATATTAATGCTACCCATAACATGAGGAACATTTTTTTGCACACAAACATTTATGGAGAGAGACCTGATTCATTTATAAGGGGGACCTACTGACCTTCTACTGCCATTTTAACTGTGGTAGGATATGTCTAGCTTGTGGCAGCAGTAGCAATGATGACTTTCTATAAAGCCACAATTAGCTATAGGGAGGATTTGGATCTTTCTGATTTAGTGTAATAAGGTTTACTTGTTATTTGATAATAAATCGATTCTTTTTTTAAAGCTGAGTTTGATGGTGGTATTTTGATGTGTGAATCACATCATATTTAAAATTTTCCAAGTTCCTATTATAGAGACTGTATTACTAATATAAACCCGGTAATATAAAAATCATGAAGTTTCCAGGGATCTGATATGATAAGATCCACTGAAAATCTTGACATAAATAGAAATATCTCTAATGGAAAATGTTGCACTAAATTAATTCCGTACTTTTTCTTGCAATATACTAATATTAAATAAATTAACTATGGGTAAGAAAACCGATCATTAGAATAAAAGAAAAGCATGTAAAAATAAATCGCTTTAGAATTAAGCACCATTAAAATTTTAATTAATAAATTATGGCAAATGAATTTTATTTTTAACTATTATTTCCTATAGATTCGAATATCAGTAATATCAGTAATAACAGTCATAATGTTGAAACAAGCACCTCAACAACAAATAATCAACCTAAAACTAGAATAAGACTTGTGAGCCGTGTTTTAGGAACTTCTCGGGCAACACAATCGCCAAACATAAATGATAATATTGATGTAGATGTTGAAAGTGCTGCAACAACTAATACAAATAATGAATTTGCGACTGATGACATAACAATTTCTTCGAGTGCAGCAGCTTCATCTTCATCCTCTCCATCAACAGCAACAACATCAACAACAGCTGGTCGTACTATTTTAAAATTAAGAGTAAACAGAGCGACAACTTCTAGTGATACTGGGCAGAATAAAAGGCAAAAGAAGAACAAGTCTACTGTTACCAAAAGTAAAAAAGGTGATAAAGTAACCAACAAGCTATCTGTAGAAGAGAATGACATTGATATAGGTACTTCGGGTACCGTCATAAATGAAAGTTTGACATCAACATCATCTAAGAACAAATTTGACAAAAAAACTTCTAAAAATTCTAAAGGCAAGAAAAATAAAAAGATTACTGGTACTAAATTAAATGCGAAATCATCAAAGGTTAATGAAGCTAATGATGTTAAAGACAAAAAAGCAATTTCTGAAATTAAGGATGATGCTGATAATGATGTTAAGAATAATGTTAATAATATCGATAAACCATCAAAATCTTTAATGCTTAATAAAGAATTGAATACTACAGCGAAATCAAGTTATTCTAATAAAGGGAAAAGACCATACAATAATATTGAAGAGCCCAGCACAACATCTGAACATCAACATAAATTTACCAAGATTTCAACATCTGGTAAAAAATATAGCGACAAATCAAATACTTTAATAAAAGCTGAGTCAACAGTAAATCACACAGTTAATGCTGGAAAAAATACATCTTCATTTGTTAATGATGGTGAGTCAACAGTTACAATCAACAAACAACCGTTCATACGTAAACTTGGCAGACCACCAAAAATACAAAAAAAAATTTACAATCATTCTTTAAATATCCAAAAAAAGAAAAAGGAAATAAAAGTTGTTTTGATTAAATTGTTAGAATCCATCAATAAGTAAGAAGGAATATCATTTAAAATTCTGTGATATTTTTTTGTTTAATAATCAAACTTCGTTTGAATTGAAATAGAAAAGATACATATGGATTTTTCTTGGAGCCAGTTGATACAAGTGTAGTAACTGATTATCTAGACGTTATTGAAAAACCTATGGATTTTGGAACAATGAGGCAAAAGATTGAAAAGAATGAATATAAGACCATTGATGAATTTAAGGTATTTTTAAATAAATAAATAAGTTTATTTATTTGATTATTTGAAATGAAAATTTCACGAATAAAATTTTATAATTTATTATGATGATGGCAATGAATAATGATTATTATTAGACAGATTTAGATCTTGTGATTAAGAATTGTAAGATATATAATGCTCCTAATACTATATATTACAAAAGTGCTGAAAGAATATGGAACTTTGGTGAGAAAGCAATTGAACGTGAGCGTGACAATATATTAACAGAAGAAGATATTAAAAAAGCAGCAGAAGAAGATGCGCAATTAAATAGACTTGGAGGTTCTAGTACACAAGAAAGCAAGGTTAATAAATGTTTAAAGAGAGATATATTACTTTATTAGAAATAGATAATAATATTATATTATTTAATAGGGTTTTCTTACTCCAAGCAGCAGTTTTAAAGGGGTTGCTAGGAATAAAAGTATCTATTTATGTTTTTATTACAAAGCTACCTTTTTTAAAAATAAATATATAAATATATATATATGTGGAGGATGCAATATGAGGTAGTAAATTTAAATTGTCAAATTTACAGGGACATCAGTTTCTAAACGACGTAATAAAAGAGCAGATGGTCATAAAAAGTTTGCTATAGATGGATCCTTGATTTTAAGTAATGTTCAAACAACGTTTTTAAATAATTGCTAGATAACTATTCAATAAATTTTACAACTAAACAATAATTTATATATTTATACTGATATCATGACTATAGCTGATGAGATTAAATCTATGATGTTTGACTCATCCAGATCTTTTGAAATTCCACAACTTAAAGTCATATCATCTAGTGCACAAAGAACTGGTATGATAATAACAAAACTTTAATTAATATTATAGATACATTATTTTTATTTATATTTACTGATATATATGTACAGCACGGTTTGAGGATTATGGCCCTTATGCTACATTGGGAGTAGATCCGCCATATTTCACATCTCATGAAAGAGAGTATTTATATGACATGTATGGGGATGAGAGGGGATATTCATATACTAAAAGCATTCAAAATTTTGTATCAGATCTTGGAACTGAAATGAGATCAACAGTGGATGAATATTTAAATGGTCTAACGCGTGGAACATATAGTGTTGATAGAGAAATAGCAAGATTTGTATCCAGAGAACGAAAATACAACAACAACAATAATGATAGTGATAATGATAAAAATGACAATAAAAATATTGGAGCTAATAAATCGACCATTGTAAATACAGAATTTGGTATCGTTGATATCGGTAAGGAAGTTGAAAGAGCACGCGAACTTCCTCAGATTATGAAACAAAAGGCTGATTTAGAACTTTGGCAAAGAGAAAAAATTGATATCAATTTATTGGTTAATTATCATCATGGAAGTAATATAGGATATAGTGGTAATATTGATAGTGATGGCGATGAGAATAAAGAGATAATTGCATCAAATTCTCATATGACGGCAATTGGGGGAGAAAGTCAACTTATAGAGAATTTATTGGAATCTAATAATAAAAATTTGGAAGAATTAATTTCATTTCAACAAAATAAAAAAACTATCACTTCAAAATCCACATCCACATCCACAAATTCAACAGTAGCAACAATAAATGGTTCTGGTACAAGTGAATCAACGACTGTTCAACAAAAAGAACAACAGCTTTGTATTTATTATTTATTTATGTATTTTATTTTCATTAGTATGATCCCCCGACAATTAAATTTCTAATATATATATATATATGATATCTACAGTTAATCAAGTATCAAATAATTTGGCACAATTAGCAAAACATGTACCAATAAATGAGATAAATTATAAAAATTCTACGACGCCATTTAATGGAACAACAACATCATTACCAATGTCAAAATTGGTTATTGGTACAACGTCAGCAACAGCAAAAACAATACCAACAACACCGCCACCACTATCTAGTATTGTAACAACAACACAAAGTTCAGGAATGGAACCAACAACTATAAGTGCATTGTCACCTATTAGTCCACTCATTTCTGGATTTGGTGGCTCTTTTGGTAAAGGACGCGCAAAACCATGTAATTACAATCCAGGTAAATAAATATATAATAAATATGATGAATATTGAGATTTATAAAAATAATATTTTTTTATTTATATTGAAATTAGCAGGCAGATGTGCAAATTGTCAAACCACTGATACACCAGGATGGCGAGTTGGAGAGATGCCTGAACAGAAATTGTGTAATGGTAAGTAAGATAAGCGTAATATATAAATAAATTTTAATTTAAAATGAACAAAAAAGGTTTTAACTCGTACTATTTATATATAGCATGTGGGTTGTATTATGCAAAGAATCGATCTCATAGGCCATCCAATTTATGGAATAACAGTCGTTAAAGACTTTGCTATTCGGACATATATATATATAAATTACATAAATTAATTCGTCATCTTTACTGATTATTAAAACATAGATATATTACCTCAAGGTACAATTGTACGAATAAAAAAAATTTGTTCATAATACCTTTGTTCTGTGAGTATTTCAAATATATCAATTTTAATGAAAAGTTATCACCTTCCTTTTTAACAATATTTTAAAGTATTTATTTATTAAAACAAAAGATCTCAAATCACATTTTATTTTATTTTTCGTATATTTATGTCTTTCCATATTTTTTGTTGGTTGAATGTTTCACTGTAAACACATAATATATTGATATCCATCTGCATTGGTCCGGTGGCTAGTACTAGTGATTATACCGTAACTCCGTAATTCGTAAATGATTACGGGCCAACCACATCTTTGTTTTTATTGAAATTACAAGTTGAAAATAATTTGTTATGACATGATTAAGAATTGAAGGCGTAACTTTCAATGGGTAATTCTTTTCCGTGTTTTTAATAAACCATAGTTAAAATTTTCTAAGAAGATAAATAAGTCTCAAAGAATTCATGCACAAAATATCACGTTTCTGGTTAAAAAAAATTTACGTACTAGTACTAGTGACGAATGAAAAAGCTTCAATAGTAAAATTTGACATGTTGCACAAAATTTCTACATGTCAATCGCGTGAAATGTCGTCTGACTGCTATCATTTCTTGTCTCATAATTTTTTAACTATCAAGGACACCAACTCATGGACAGGTTCATCCCTACGACAATTAATGTGATGGCGAATGGAGACGTTCTCGAAGCTTTTGAAGCATGCAACTGGTGATTGACACCATTACCAAATTCAAATGTGTGACGGTAGTTTTGGAGACTTTATCGAAAACAAATTTTAGATTTCACATATTATGTTGTAGATGTTGTAAAAAGATCTATTGCTGCTGTGCAGACTGAATAAAAATTCAATGTTATGAAAGCTTTCAATGATTTTGATATTAAATCTAGTTTAGAAGTTCATTTTAAGAAGTTTGAATGGCATCCAAAAATTTCAGAGTTTCCTTTTAAAGTTTCTTTCTAATCCGGTGTTGTAAAGCTCAATGAGTTGTCGATGGTCACTTTCATAAATTTTAAGCTATTGAAGACCAGTACAAAGATAAATATTAATGCCGTAGAAGAAATTTAAATCCTATCCTTATGCCTTCTCCCAACGTCAGGAATATCTTTACAATAATGTCAGTTCTTTTGTCAGAGATGAATTTAAAGATATTAATATTTCAGTTCATGAAAATGCAATGCAACAACACTCGTGCCTCTTTTATATCCTCTTTTTGTGGGATATAAGTATAGAATAATAAGAGCGTCCCAGCTAAAATAAATCTAGTACTAGTCAGTACTAGTATTTATTTAAGTTAATTTAGTTAATTTAATAATTTTTATTTTATATGCAAAAGCGTAAAACAGAAATTTTTTGTATATAGTAAAGTCGCGTTGTTCCAAATATAGGACAATGTCATTTGTTTTATGTCACACTAATAATAATTCCTACGCATGAATTCGTGAGATTTTTTTATTGCATAAAAATAAAAAACATTCTTTAAAAAAAATGTCTTTACGCTCAAAAAAATTAAATTTTGATAAAGTGTTTAAAGAGTTTAAAGCAGATATAGAAAAAATGTTTAATTTTTCTGGAGTAGATCGAGTGTCTGGAGTGAAGATGTATCAGTATCCTTTATGTGAACAAATGTTAAATACTTGGAAATTTTTCAATTCTTTCTGTTGTTGTTTTTATTTTTATTATCATCCTTAATGAACATTTTCGTTTGATAGATTGGTATATGATATGTGCACTGCCTCACCAAGACCATATACTGATAAATTGTTTAATTCACTTGCTGATTTTTTAACACAACACACTATACAAATAAGAGAGGTATTTGATTAAATTGATCTTTCAATATATTCATATATATATATATATATTAATTGAGAAAACTACTTTTTTTTAAAAATTATAAGTCTATTTTAGAACATAATGATATTGTTAATGAATATTATAGAGAATGGAAACGATATCGTCTTGCAGCAGAATATTCTAGCAATGTGTGTGATTATCTTAACAAACGTTTAACCAATGAATTGAAAAGTCACAATATAGTAGCTACCAGGAGAGAAAATGTAGGAGGAGGAAAATACAAACCACAAACTTTTCAAGCTGTTAGTATTACTAAGCCACTTTTAGGCTTCCTTTTCAAATCATTAATAAATAGTTGATAATTTGTTTTATTTTTTTTGAAATTAAAAAAGTTGGCTTATTTAATATGGAAAGAACAAATATTATATTCAATTAAAAAAAATCATGGAGATCGATTAATGTATCAAATATTTCAGCTTATTCAAAGAAATAGAGATGGAAAGGAAATTGTACCTGATATATTGACAGAAGTTATTGCATCATTAGGTCAGTTAACCATTTTTCAAATAATCGATCTTGGAAAATTTAATTGATTATTAACGAAATATAATTTATTTACTATTATTACTTATTTATTTAGTTGAGTTAAATTCTTTAACAAACTTTCCTCTTCGTTTATACCAAGAAGAATTTCAAAAACCTTATTTAAAACATACTCGACAATATTATGAAAGGGAAGCAGCTGAAGTTATTTCAAGTTCTTCAATTTCAGATTATATGAAAAAAGTATGTGTAGTATTTTTAAAGTAAATAAATCATAAATTTTTTGAAAATATTTATACATATTTGTTCATTATTAGGCTTCTCATAGACTAGAGGAGGAAGCTGTAAGAAGTGATAAATATTGTCATGAATCTTCGCTCGCAAGTGTTAGTGTATTTAATTTATGTGATGGGAGGTTTTTTGGCTGATTGATTATCACAGTTATAAAACTTTGATTATTATTTTTTTTATGACAAATGCAGGTAATTAAAGAATGCGAAAAACAATATATAACTGTACATCAATCAAGGATACATAATGAATTTGAATCAATGATCTCGAAGGAGCAATATGAAGGTAAATTATGTTGATTGTTACAATTGGTTGATTATTTTGCTTTTTTAATAAATAAGTTTACTAAATTTTTATTTTAAAAGATTGTACATTGGCTTACAAAATTTTATCTAGAAATCTTCCTGAAGGCTTAACTCATTTGTTAGAAATATATGAATTATTTATTACAAACATTGGTAAAGAAATGATTGCAAAAATGGGCAATACGATAACAAAGGTTTTATTAAAAAATAAATAAATTTTTAAAAATAATAATATTTAAAAATGATGTTTTTCTAACTCTAAATTTTTTTTAGGATCCAAGAGAGTATTTGGAAGAGCTAATGGAGCTTCATACAAAATACATGTCATTTTGTCAAAAAGTATTTAATAACGATCCAGCTTTTGTAGCCTCGGTTGATAAAGCTTTTCGTACCATTGTTAATGATAAAACAACCAATCCAGTAGCACACTCACCTGAAATCATGGCACGTTATTGTGATGTTTTATTAAAAAGAAATAATAAAGGTGGATTGAATGAAAGTGAAATTGATGAGAAATTAAACCGAATGGTGAATATATTTTAAATATATATTGAATATTTTAGAATATATTTATTCGTTCATTATTAATGTTGATATATATGTATGTACTCCATATTTTCTTCAGATTGTACTTTTTAAATATATTGATGATAAAGATGTTTACCAAAAATTCTATTCAAGAATGCTTGCAAAACGTCTTATATATGGAAATTCAGCATCTGAAGAAGCTGAAGCAAATATGATATCACGACTTAAGGTTTTTTTAATTATTTAGTTATTTAAAAAATTTTTAAATAATATTAACATAATTTTTCCACAAAAAAAAATATGGACATAGATTGCATGTGGTGTAGAATATACTAATAAATTACAAAGGATGTTTACTGATATAACCATCAGTACCGATATTAATAATAATTTTGTTGATCATATTAAAAAAGAGTCAATAAATATAGGAGGTAAATTTTTATATTAATATATTTGTTAAATATCATAGTTACAATATATATACATCATGAATTTGTAAATTTAACATATGATATCCTTAATATCATCATCATTTACACTAACGTTATCATTATTTTAGTCGACTTTTCAATATTAGTATTAACAACAGGTGCATGGCCATTAACACAAACAGTTGGAACAGAATTTCAATTACCAATTGAGGTAAATGATTTTAAAATAATTGTTCTATTATTATCATTGTATTATTACATTTAAATTATATTATTGTATTATCTCTAATTTTCTATAATTTTAGTTAGAGAAAAATATTACTCATTTTTCTAAATTCTATAGTAAAAAACATGAGGGTAGAAGATTAACATGGTTATGGCATTTATCAAAAGGTAAATTATTTTTCTTTTTGATGGAGAAAAAGTAGATAATAAAATTTTTGTAGTGATTTTCCATTAATGAATTAATTAATGAATATACAGCTGATGTGAAATTATCATATCTTGATAAACGATATGAATTCTCTGTCTCTCTACATCAACTCGGAGTACTTTTATTATACAATAATAATGATGTATATACCTTCAAAGAAATTTCTGAAAATATAGGATTAAATGAACAAGAATTGAAAAGAATTATGAAGGTACGTACATTATTATTTTTCAAAATAATTAAATTTAAATTTTAATTTTAATTAATAAATGTTATGTATATATTTATATAGCCAATGATTGATTTGTTAGTATTTATAATATCGCCACCTGGAAACCTTCAGGAAGAAACAAAAATTAGATTAAATATGGAATTTACAAAGTAAATATTAACTATTAATTCAGCCAATTCTTCATTGTTATCATATTATCATTGGTATCACTAACATTTTTCTGATACTATTTTTTTAAAAATATATACTTGTAAAAAAAAGTAAAAGAAATAAAATCAAAATTGGTACATCATTACAAACCGAGACGCCACAAGAAAATGATGCAACAAGAAGATCCGTTGACGAAGATAGAAAACTTTATCTCCAGGCAATTAAAAATAATATATATATATTTTCAAAAAAAAAAATAATAATTTCAATTAATCAATCAATGTATTTATAATTATAGGCAGCAATTGTCAGAGTAATGAAATCAAGAAAGACGTTATCACATGTACAATTAGTTAATGAAGTTGTTGATCAAGCAAAAAATAGATTTACTCCAAATGTGCCAATGATAAAAAAATGTATCGAGCAACTATTAGAAAAACAATACCTTCAAAGGACACCAGGAACCAAAGATAAATATGTATATGTTGCATAAAATAGGGAAATATACAAATATAAATTATTATTATTATTTTTAATTTAATTTTTCTTAAAATTTTTTTTTCTCCTATCGTAAACAAAAATAAATTAAATGTATATTTTTTATAATGTAAAAGCTACTATTAAATTAGAATTAAAGAATGAATGTTCTTTTGTAAAAAAGACTAGAAATAAATTAATAAAATCAAATTCAACAAAGACAATTTTCAAAAACAACAAGAAATATTATATTGTTATTATTTGATTACATTTTATAGTTACAAGTATTTATTTATATTATGAAATGATCGATTTATAAATAATTGCATATTTGGAAATGAATTGGTAATTTAAAGGAATTGGATTTATCTAATCTAATAAATTAAATTAAAAATTCATCAGTACTACTATTTAAATATGTTTCAAATTATTTTATAAAAAATATATATTAAAGACTTTTTTGACCAATCTTGGTTGATTTGATTAATAGCTGTTGATATATATTTTTCGGAAAATTTATAAAAGTAATTTTAAAGCCGTGCCAATTTCAGCCTTCAATAGTTGATTACATAAATGATATATATAAATATTGATATATAAGGAATTGTTTAACTTATCATAGTCAATAAATATATGAACATATAAACTCAAGTGAAGTAAACAATTGATTTTCATCAAAAGTTACATGCTTGATTAATTGTTTCGTTAACCATTTACTTGACTTTTAAAAGACATAATAAATATTTTACCTGATCAAAATAGGATCGAAATAGGATTTAAACTGGTTTTTACTATGTACTAGTACAGTCAAACCTTGTCGCAACGGATTATAATTATAATTTAGATTCGTGCTATAACGGGTTTTTAAAATTTTTGCATCATGTATTATTATGACGAGATTAGCAATTGTAATAGTAATAGTAATTTCTTGGCAAAATGAAATTTCTCTAATCTGTTATGTGTCTCATGCATCCATTGTGACGAGGTTTGGCCGTAATGCGACCAGAACATTGCGGCTAATTATTATATTTTATGATCAGAAGATATCATAATATAAAGATATATCGATACCGATATATATTATCAAATTCGATAGCACAGGCACTGATAATCTTCGCGTCAAAATGAACATTTATAATAAGAATATATGACTATTTGCAACACAATAATTTTCAATCGATTCATCGAGAGAATTTTTCATTAGATTTGCATATATTGGCATGTGACTTGAAAAATTCAAAAGTTGTTTGGACACAAATTTACAAATAAGGATAAAGGGATTTCCATTTTATTTTATTTATAAAAACTCATTTTATGTTTATTTATACTTATTTTATTTATAAAAAACTCATTTACGTAAATAAAAATGAAAAATGAAGTGTAAAAATTGTCAACTTGACAAGTTATCTCGTGAATTTCCATCTGACACTATCAGTTATAAATGCCAACATGCTCCCAGTTTTTGTTTAAAGTGTTTAGTAAATCATTTGAATGATGGTCACCGTCCAAAACAATGTCCTGAATGTAAAAATTCTTTGAATCAAAAAGAAATTGAAATTTTAAATTTTTCATGGGACAAGGCTTCTTTCAAGATTAATATCGATAATATTTCAGCACCAAATGTTATAAATAACAAAAAACAACCAAATACTTCTTCCATTAATCTCACCGGAAATTTCTACGTTGTAATGTTAGATGGTCATAAGATCCAATTAAAGTTGGAGAAGATCAAAACTGTTATTGCTCTTAAACAAGCGATAAGTTCAGAAATTAAAATCGAAGCCAATAAACAAAAATTAATTTATAATGAAGTTGTATTAGAGGTAATAGTTATAAGTAACATAGTGTATTATATATTTTATTTATATTATAATAATATATATTTAACTAATAGGCTTATCATCCAAACCATGTTGAGAAAAAATTGTCAGACTATAATATTGTAGAAGGAAGTCATGTACAATTAATTGTGTTACTTTACTCAATCTCAAAAGATCAATCACTTAATAATTTAACATTTGATTTATTTTGGGGATTTCCTGGAGGATTGTGCGATTATTTGGATGGTACTTGTATGTTGTATAATGATAAAATATTTAATAGAACATTCGATTATGTTTCGAGAATACATGTTGATCTAAAAGATATGTCTCATTCCGGTGACGTGATGGATGCTCATAATCAAAGAGGTAAAAAATCTTTAAAAGAAAAAAATTAAAATTGTTTATTAATATTAATATTATTAATTATAATATATTTTATGATAAGGTCATCATCGTATAACAGTAAACTTATCTAGTTTACCAATAAGTGTAACAAAATTGTATTTTATATTATCGTCGTGGAATTCACCTAATATTGGAAGTTTTCCAAATCCTAGTTTTAAATTATATGATCCAGATAAACCTAATGAACAGTTATGTAAATATGAGATACGAACCGCGGCATCTTCACAAGCTGTAATAATGTGCGTTGTTGCTAAAAGTAAAATTGATAGTACTTGGAATATATATGAAATTGGCAAATTATCTTCTGGTAATGCTAAAAATTATTCTTCAATTCAAGCAACAATAGGTGCATTAACTGATTATTTTTAATTCGAATCGCTATTGTTATAGTAATTATGATTATATTTTTTATTGATTACTATTAATATAAATATATTTGTAAAATAAAATGAGATAGATTACAACGAACATAATAATAATAATAATAATATAATGCCACAAAATTTTGCAGGGGTATAAATTTAGCGACTAGCTAAATTTACCCAATAAATAGTATTTTCATTTAATTACCCATATAATATAAGTAATCAATAAATTCATGTTAAGGAAGTTATTTGATTTCTCTAGTTTAACCTCCATTATTGGGAAGATTGGAACATCCAATTCACGTCATTAGGTAACTGCGACACAAATTTTTAATGTTTTCTTGTGTCGTACAATATCGAATTTACGCATAATTCAGATTATCATCATGGTAAGATTTTTTTAAAGGCCATTTTTCAAGTTAATTGATATTTAATAAATAAATTGATGGTTGGCTTTTTTTAAAAATAATATAAAGTCAAGAGTTGAATTGATAGGTCCTCAGGGTAATTAATTAAATATTTGATCTTTCATATAACAATAGATAATAAATATATAAGATATATATTTAATATATATAATTTAATTTAAGGACTTCGTACTGATGGTAGGAGACCTTATGAATTACGAAAAATCAAGTGTAAATTATCTGTGTTAAGTCAAGCTGATGGATCTGCTTATATCGAACAAGGCAATACTAAATGTTTGGCTGCTGTATATGGACCAAGAGAAGTAATAATGATAATATTTATATATTGTATATTATTGTTCATTTGTGTATATAAATATAATATCGTGATAATTATATACCGTATATAGGCAAGACAAAGAGCTCAAATATTACATGATAAAGCTATTGTCACTGTTGAATTAAGTTATGCTCCATTTAGCACCAGTGAACGAAAAAAAAGATCAAAAACTGACAAGTAAATATTGCGATTACGTCAATAATCTAATTAATAAATAGATTGATCAATTGAAAGTTGATTATGAATTTATTTTTATTATTTCTTTAAATATTAACAAAAAAATTTTTTTCAAAAAAAGACGAATTTTAGAGATAGCTTCAGCTGTTAAACAAACCTTTGAGCCTGTCATAATGACAAATTTATTTCCAAAGTCACAAATTGATATTTTTTTACAAATATTACAATTTGATGGAGGTTATTATTATTACTATTGCTATTATTATTTATTTCTTATTAGGAAATATTTTTTACCAATAACACTTATATTTTATAGGCGCAACACAAATATGTATCAATGCAGCTACCTTGGCTTTAATAGATGCTGGTATACCGATGTCAGATTATGTTTGTGCTTGTTCCGCTGGTTGTATTGAAGATGAGCCAATTTTAGGTTTGTAATCTACTAAATATCAATATTTATATAAATATGTTGTAGCTATTAATAAATATTAACAAAAAAATCTACTAGATTTGAACAATATTGAAGAATCATGTAATACGCCAGAATTGAGTGTAGCTTTATTACCAAAATCTGGAAAAGTAGCTTTATTACAGGTAACTAAATTTCGGCTATCACACACATCACACATCCACACATCTGCATATAAATATAAATAACAATTTTAATTTTAGATGGAATCACATCTTCACGTTGATAAATTTGAATTAGTGATGGAACAGGCAGCTGTAGGATGTAAAGATGTGTATAACGCATTGAATCAAGAAGTTATAGTTAATATGAAAGAATTAATAAATAAAATGTCCATATAAAGTTTTTTTTGTTGACAATGGAATAAAATTAAATTGAAAATCGTGTCAGGTTATATTATAAAACATAAAAATTACAAACTGATTTTGCTTTTGCCAGAAATCTTTATATTTTTCTGGTGATTCTTTGACCGCTTCCTTGTGAGCACCAAGTAACTAAGGCTTCCGGATTTTCCTTTAAATTTTTTAACTTCTGAAAAAAAAGTCACCAAATATTTTTCCTTTTTTTTTTTTGAATTTATAACATTCCACCTGCACGTTCTCTACCAGCACTAAAGCCTTTAAGAAATATTTCAGCGTTTCTAGCTTTAATATTGTTTGTAGCAATTTGATGATCTGCTTCATAGCTACCACGTTGAGATTTTTAAAGCCTACAATTCCACTTGATTTTGTGATTAATGAATCACCACGAGAATTTGCTATCAACAATAGAAAAATGCCTGATATAATTCTTGCTAATCCAGTTCGAGTTTTATTTAAACTTTGTGATTTTTTATCTTGATGTTTGTTGATGAGAATTTGTTCTTATCATCTTCATAGTATTACACAATCAGATCTGAAGGAGATGAAGAAACATCATCATTTAATTCCTTCCTGGTTAACTTACTTCCAGAATGCATTACTATATTATAATTTTTTTCAATGATTCTTTAGAATACGCTTTATCAAAATCTATCATTTCATCAAATCTTGATTCTGGATCCGGTTTAATATAGTTTTTTGCATCTACATTAAACGTTTTAAAATTATCATCATTTTTGAGAAATTAAAAATAAATTGTAAGCAACTTATTGATAATTTAAGTTCTCTGGAAATGGTTTAATTGACAAAAACAATATAAACACATATAAAGATAATAATAATCAATTCGCACATTTTATCCGCAAGATCTATTTAAAATTTATATAATGATAATAAAGAAATGTTTCTACCTTTGTCAAAGTATCAAACATCAAAGTTAACTTATACATCAGCATTTCAACGAGTTAGAAAACCATTTATAATTTAACTGGTATAATCTTTTTAAAAATAAAAATTTTATTTCAAATAATAATTAAATTAAATTCTTATACAATGTTTGCAATAAAACAAAATGGTTTTAATGATATTCCATCATCATTAATAGAAGATAACAAGGATTTAAAGAATTAAAAAATTTAGTTAATACAACTATTATTATTGTATATTTTTATAATGAAACTTTAATCTTTAATCTCCAATTTGAGATTTTGAAGCCTCGTTAGGAAAAAAAAAAACAATTTTTTAATAGCCTCTAAATAAATTGAGGGGACCATCTTTTATCTTTATCGTCATCCCTCCTTCTTTACCATCATCCTCGCATCCTCCTTTGCCTTTATTACCGCCTATTCCTCTATTTTCAATAATATAGAGATGTTACTATGTTAATTTTTGATTATTGTAATGATAATTTTCTAAATTGTAGTCGCCTTCCGAGGATTTGATTATTGTAGATAATTATTAATACTTCAGAATTTAGAAAAGACTTGATAAAATTATTATCTTTATTTTCTTGATGAACTTCTTTAAAAATTTATATTAATAACACATTGTAATTGGCGAAAAGATGAAATTCCAATTCCCGTTTAATTACGTGACATGAGTTTTTACCGTTTGACTGCAAAAAACACGATCGGCATTCAGCAAAAAAGTAAAAGAACAGCTGAAAAAGGATTTACCTAAAGATCTAAAGATTATACTACATTTTTTGAGAAATAAAGAAACATTACCTGGCTGGTTAAAGCTTAAAGAAAAATTTGGATTCAATTTTGGAGACCAAAAAAAAGATCAAGAGAAATCATGGATAAAGAATACGTTATATACATTAACAGGTATTTATTAATTAATAATATTCATGTAATCTATTTATAATTTACCATATAGATACTCAATTTATTGATTAGTTTTAAATTAATTGTAAAAAAACGTTATAAAGTTACCTGAAGGGTGTACAATAGAAATACTCTTTTCTACATTTAGAATTTCACTTGAGGCAATTTAATAGAATATCAAAGTCGACTTTTGTTACAAAGCGTGAAGTGTTGGAAAGACAAGAAACAAAATATCAAGAAAATTCAAAGAAAGGCCTAAATCAAAATAATCAAGGAAAAATTTTGTTAAGGAAAGAATCTGAAAATCGATTTGATGGCAAATAGAAAAATCTCACTATACAAAATAAATTATACAAATAAAATACTCAGTTTTTGCAATCTACAGTCAGAACTCGTTATAAAGATGCTTTGATAAAACGAATATACAAGATAAACCGATGTCTTTTTTTATTATCTACCTATTAAATTTAACTCTATAAGCCAATCTTATCGAAGTTTTTTAAACCGAAGATTTTTTTTGTGAAAACATTGACTTTCGGTTTAACGAGTTCTGATTGCAATTATTATCGTGTTCGAAATGTGATATATCAGCTTATCGTTTATATATAGTCACCAGATCAAAATTTTGCCCAATGTGACAATTCTGAATTGACACAAAATTTCAAAAATACGGTAATTCTCTTGGATTTAATTTATAATGACTTCCGCAGAAGAAAAAAATACACTTTTAGTAGATTTGCATGTTAAATATATTCAATCACTCGACACGGTATAAGTTTATGAGATTATTGTGATAATCATAGTGATGATAAGATATTTCATTATTTTTTTATTTATTTTTGATAGAAAAAAGATGATTTGGAATATTGGCTTACTGAGCATTTACGTTTGAGTGGTGTTTATTGGGGTTTAACAGCTTTGGATCTGTTAGATCATGTTGACGTACTTAACAGAGAAGATGTAGTTAAATATGTGGCTTCTTGTCAACATGAAAATGGTTATAAATAAATAAATAATTATTTATTTATTGCATATATTGAAAAAAATCAAGGCTTATTTATCACTATATATTATTATTGTTGATTTAGGAGGATTTGGTGGACATATTGGTCATGATCCGCATTTATTATACACATTGTATGCAGTTCAAATTTTAGTAATAGAAGATTCTTTGGAATCAGTTAATGTTGATAAAATTGTTGAATGTTAGTTAACTATTCAATACAATTACATTTTTCCTGGTATATGGCATTAATATACTTCAAAAATAAATAAATTAGATGTCACATCTCGACAAGATCGAACTACTGGTGCTTTTACAGGCGATGAATGGGGAGAAATTGATACAAGATTCTCGTATTGTGCACTATCATGTCTTTCACTCTTAAAACGGTTAGATGCTGTGAATATTCAAAAGGCAGTGGAATTTATAATATTGTGTAAAAATTTTGATGGTGGATTTGGAAGTACACCCGGTGCAGAATCGCATGCAGGCCAAAGTTAGAATTAATCATTTTAATAATCTTATTCTACTATTTTTTTTAAAAAAAAAGGAAATTCATTAATTAAAATGTTTTACCAAAAGTTTTTTGTTGTGTTGGTGCACTTGCTATAGTGAATTCATTACATCTTGTTGATGCAGATTTGCTTGGATGGTGGCTTTGTGAACGCCAATTAAAAAATGGGGGATTAAATGGGAGACCAGAGAAACTTGAGGATGTATGTGGGAAAATTTTTTTTTAGAATCTATTTTTTTTTATATTGATTGCTTATTTTATATTACTTTAGGTATGTTATTCTTGGTGGGTTTTATCTGCTCTTAGCATATTGGGTCGATTACATTGGATTAATAAAAATAAATTAATTGAATTCATATTAGCTGCCCAGGTATTTATATATAAATTCATTTATAAAATTCACATTATTTAAATATTTCTTTTATGTTAAGACCTTTATCATCATTTCTAGGATCCTGAATGTGGAGGCATTGCTGATAGACCAGGTGATATGGTCGATGTGTTTCATACATTATTTGGGATTGCAGGTTATATTTAGATAATTTATTAGTATAAATCAATTTTATTTTATTAATTGCTAATTATCCTTTTATTGAAAAAAAAAGGATTATCATTACTTGGTTATCCAGGATTGAAATTAGTAGATCCAGTTTATTGTTTACCAAAATATGTTGTTCAAAGAATTGGTCTAGCAGAGAAATATCATATATAATATATTTAATTATTCAGATGATAAGAATATTGCATTATTTATTTATTACAAACAATAATGATGATGGTTATTAATATAGTTATTTTTTATGTCAAAAAAATTAAAGAATTTATTATTATTATTGATACTAAAAGGAAAAAATTTTTTTTTCTTTCGTCACTAATACCATAAAAATTATTAAAATAATGTCCTTGTCATTATCTTCAATAAATCTATAGGCCTTGAATCATATGAAGAATAATCTTTTACAGTAAATATTAGAAAGATTTAATTTTAGAAAAACGAGAGGAAAAAATAGTTATCCTACCGGCATTTTCTAAAAGTGAAAACACTTTTCTTCCTTCTTCGACTACCTTTTGATCTTTCTTCTTTTACCTTGTGCTTTTTTTAATCTTTTAAAAAAATAATAATAAATAAATATTACTTTTTTGGATTTTTTTTAAAAATTTCTTCACGATCTTTTTCATCTAATTCAGAATTATATCTGATTGCATTTTCTAATCTAGGTATAATAACATGCTCTATAGCATTAACACGACGGTTGATTACTTTAATAACTCCATCCAAGATCACAAATGTGGTCTAAAAAGATGTAAATATTTTGTTTGTTCAAAAAAAATTTTATTTCTAAATTTTTAAAAAACATTCTTTCTTACAATGAACTTGTTGGCCATCTCTTCCCAAACCAGTCAATCAAAATTTTATACCAATCAACTGGAGCATTAAATACTTGATTTTATTGTATGCATTAAATGAATAAACACTGGATATATGTGCGAGTATATATAAAGTCAACAAACCATTTCCTCCTTCCATATAATTTTCAAAAATGGGTAACAAAAACATTTCTTGTTTGATACGAATACGTAATTGAGCATTCTTAGCACTCTCTTGAACCTGATAACTAAATTAGCATAAACCGTATAATAATGATATGGTAATCATCATAATAACAGAATAAAAAAAGTAATTAATTCTCCATTTAAAAGAAAAGATTCAAATTCTACTCTATTACAAAGTAATAAATGACCTAATGTCGCCAGCAATATAAGTCACTTCTGCTAATGAAAATGAAGCTGTTTTCCCATCTTTCTTTTAGCCTAATTCACAATGAATTAATATTTAAAACATAGCAATTTCAAAAAATTTTAAAAAAAATAAAAAAAATTTTAAACCTCATCAAATTTTTGAGTTATAGTATGGTTAATGCTTCACTTTTACGTTTTAACAAACTATGACCAGTTTGGACGCCTTTCAATTTTATATTTATTGTTGTTAATATACGAAGAAGTATACTGTTAAGCTTTAATAACTCTGCTATCATTAACTACCCCCAAAAAATGTAGTTAATAGCGGAATAGAAAGGTAGAATACATTCAAGTGGAAAAATGTTAAGTCTAGGCCTGTTCCTGACATTGTTTTATTTAAAAAAAAATATTGTATTTTATATATTAAATTAATAGTAATCTGGATATTCAAATATTAGGTAACAGTATGTTAATATAATAATAATAAAATATTGTTCCGTCAGATTTTATAGCAAACAAATTCTAAAAATTAATATAAGAATTAATTTGATGATTTTCATATCGTTAAAATCATTAAATAAAAATATCATGCGCTTTCCAAGTCCCTGCCTCAAGTATTTGAGCTAATGACAATTGTTGTTCAGATAAACCAAGATGATCCCTAAAAGAATTATTGTCATGCACACCATTCAATCACTAAATAATCATCAACTTCAAACATTGGTACAACCACCAAGAAAAATTTTTGCCATATTTAAGACCCACAATCCATATCAATTGTAAAATGTAAATTTTATGCAAATGATAGATATAGTTTGAAAACCATTTCTATATTCTGGCAATCCGGCCAAATGTTCTTCAAATTTAACACCATAAACTTTAGTGATTGGTTCAATAATTGAATAAGTTAACCATTGTGAAATAGAATAAGGTTTCTGCAGAATCATCAAAAGGCACATCTGATGTTTTTTAAGACCACAAAAAAAACCATGACCATAACATTCCTATTTTTACTTTACAATTGTAAAACAAATCCCAAAACCAAAATGAATAATTATAAAAAAAAAACAAATCTTTATCAATTATCAATAATACAAAAAATAAAACCACAAATACTTACAAAAATGCTGTGAAATTCCTGCCACTGGAGCTCTTGTTGAGGTCCAGACAACTAAAATTCATCCCTTTTTAAATGTTGATTCATTTACGTAATAAATTATTGTTATTTTTTAATACCTAATAAATTTCCAGGTCTTGATGGCTAAAGAGTAGTAATTCTATTTGATATCTAAATTACAAAGATGATAAATATGCATGAGACATGAATAAATATATTTATAAGACATACCAAATTACCATTTAATTGAAAAAAATTCAGGATAATTTTTCGATGCATGACCTAATCTAATCAACAGATTAGAACAACCTTTAAAACCCGCCAAAAAGTTATTATCATTGAACCTGGGAGGATTACTATCATTATTAGATTAATATTTATCAGTTTATTACAATTGTGTATAACTAAATATATTTGATATAATGGAACAATGCTCACCATTAAATTGATGATTTTCTTGACTATAGAAAATGCCAGATTTAAACGTATCCAATGAAGCAATAGCTAGTCCTTCAGATCTATTGTAAACTTCGCCGGTTCCGATTTCCTCATAAGACCAATTATTTCCAGCACCAGTATCTAACAAATTGACACAACAAATAAAACAAAAATTCCTCAAGTGTATCACAATCATCTTTCCAAAAATTAATTAGAGTGAATGTACCCCAACATCAAAATGACCATGAAGTGGAATATCTTAACTAACGTTTAATAAGCAAGGTCACCCACTACGCTAACAACCTTTTGGATATTTGATAGATTTACAGGAAAATGGTCAAGATTGTCGATTTCATCCTTTTGGTAGAATTTATTGAACGTTCGCGAATGGTTCGTAAATTTTTAATTAACAGTTTGACATTTTGTATTTTCTTGAAACAAAATAATGCAACTCCAAGAAAATACAATAATGATAGGTGTGATGATTTATTTATAGTTTCTACAATGGTGTCGATCATTCACATGATGCGGCTCATTTTGCGAAATTTTAATATTGTTTCCAATTCACCTGTTAATACCTGTTAATTCACAGGAAAAAAACAAATTAGTCATTTTTTTCATCTTTTTTTTTTCAAAACAAACAAATTTCTTTCCAAATTTTTTAAAGTACCTCTATTATTGTTGTATATTTCGAATTGTTGAATTTTTTATTTTATTTTTCCGGATTTGTTCAATCCAATTCAATATTTTCACGAAAGTTTAAATTTTTCGAGAAATATTGTGAGCTCATTCAGAAAAATACCTTTGATGTTATGGTTAATTATATGCAAATAAAAATTATAAACATTTGTAAAAATAGTTAATTATTTCCTCAGAAAGCATGATACCACAAAATATGCCACGAACTTGATTGGTCCTTCACAATGAGGTTGGATAGGATAGATCTTTCCAAAAGGCGAAAATTCTTTCATTTAAATCAGAAAAAATCTTTTAAATTTTTGTGAAAGTTTTATGAGCATTTGCGGCAAGTACTTTGGATATTTTGATTGTATTTTTAATTCCCTGAAACATAAAATTCATTAATATCGTTAGCAAATAGCATTATTAAAATTTTTTGTTCAAATAAATCAAGTATATTAATATTAATTTCGCCTCCCCGTACAAAAGTATCATACTAATATTAGCGATTAGTAGACTCGGCGGCATATTATTACATTGTTTGCATGTTGAAAAGTATCCATTACAGAAGTCAAAATTGGTTTACATTGATTGTTGCTGTTTTTTGCAAGCACATTTTTCAACGTTAAACAAATCAGGTTGCGCTTGTTCTCATTCTTTTATCATATTAAAAATAGAGAGTCATTTTTTATTAGTAGCCATTTTTATCTTTATGGTGTTAGAATAAAAGAAGATATAACGCGTTGCATAAATAAGGGAAGAAAATTTTTGTATTATAATAGATTATAATTATCATGTACGTAATATTTTGAAATTCAAGAAAAGAAAAAGATTAAAAGAAGGAATGTAAGAAACGAATTGGTTTTGAATCATAGTTTAGTCCTAACAAATATATGTGTGTGCATGCTTGTTAATTAAGAACTAGATATAAATCGAAAAAAAACGCGTTATGATCATGTCAATGAAGTTTTTTACATTACATTTATTACATATTTAGATGTATTATTAAGATAGTGTGCATATTTATATATGAATTTTTTATTTTACTATAATGGGCTGACGTTAACTACACGCAAATTATCGGCATATATAATAAAGAGCTCTTTAACAATAAATGTTTTCTTTTCTTTTTTGCCGTATGTATAATAGGGAAATGTTTGTGGCAGATATATATCTTGATTGTCACGTGACCTTGGAATTTTTTTGAGGGTTCGAGGTTTTTAACTAATTTTAGGTAGAAAGAAGAGAAAAGAATGAATAATTATTATCAAGATTTAAATTATTTAAAAATTTTTTAATGGAAATTTTTGTTGTTAAAAATTTTTAAAATTTTAAAAAAATTAAAATTAAAAAAAAATTAAAAATTCGAAATTTTGAATTTGAATTTTTATATTTATTAATTTTAACAGGTAATTGTAACGAAAACGAACGAATTCAGATTTTAATTATGATAGTGAAATTATCTACAGTTTGAAGCCTTAAAGCGAGACGCATTGAAATTTGTTTATTACGACAATTCGAGATTACGAAAAAAACTCGATCATTTTATTTATTATATGGATCGATTGATTGATTGATGGGCACAAAATCTCTTTTTCTTTACAAAAAAAAAAAAAGAATTCAAAAATCGTAAAAAAAATTTTTTTTGGATAAACACGATTTTTTTTAAATCTTTACGGTTCGACTGAAAAAAATAAAGGGAGAAAAAGAGGAAGAAACTTTAAAGTTTTCAAATTTTCAATTTTAACTAATTCACCATTAACTTCTTTCTTCTACATTGTTGCTTTTATTTTATTATTATTGTGTTACTCTCCTTTTCTTTTTTTAATTGTACATTTTAAGTCAATATAACAGCAAGCAAGAAGAATAAGAAAATAAATAAAACAAATTAGAAGTTGAATGAGCTTACTTGCATCGGTTAATAGATTCCTTATCATTTATCTTCCAAATGAATTCCATTTTTCTCTCTAAAATTGGAATTTACTCGTTCATTAGTGTTCATTATTTTGCATGCTCAAGACTCTAAACTTAGTATTAAACATGAGCACAAATTCCAATTAAACAACAACAACGTAAATTCCAATGAGAAAAAAAAAATATCGTCACATTTTCAAGTTGTAGATTTGCATAATAAATAATAATAATAAAATAGCAATAATAAATAGTTATATTTACCATACTTAACCAAATATATATATATACTACATATATATATATCCCTAATTTTCTCTAGTCACCGTTCCCAAAATTTTTAAAAAAAAAAACTCTGTCCAACTCTCTCATTTTTTTAAATTTTACTCATTCCATAACCTACCTTAAACAAAAAAAACAAAAAAAAAATTTTCATTTTCCTCCTTTGTCTCATAACACTACATATTACATAATAATAATATATAAAATGAGTAACAAAAAAACTTATAACCTGGATTCTTTAACTGGAACTTGGTGTGTCTATATTATTTACAATACCAATACAGAAAGAGCGCTTGTTGGTAGTACTCCCGATCTTAAGGTAACATTTAATAATTAAAAGAAAGAAAAGCTAAACACACTTGTTTTTTCCTTCTTAAAATAAAATTTTATAAAAATTATAAATTCGCAAATACACAAAAAAAAAAATTTTTTTCCAATATTTCCATAATCAATATCAATATTAACCACAACCACCACATTTATTTATTGTAATTAGGGCCGTCTGCAAAAAAATGGCTCTTATTTACCTGTTGTAGCCATTACTGGTTTTCATGCAAATAAAGAAATAGCCAGTTTTGAATCAAATGTCAAAGATTTATCCCAAAAGAAAGAATTTTCTGAATATGCATCATTATATAAAGGTAGATGTCCTGAAAATGTAGTCAGGCGTATATTGGCAATCAGATGTTTATTATGTGAAAATGAATCATGTTGGTCAACCGTTAAAGGCAAAAGGCGTAGATATGTTTTACATTGGGGCACATATATGGACATAGATACCAAACAATTGGAAGTTTTACAGAATTGCCCATGGGCAAGAATTGGTCGCGTGGTTAAACATGTTAGAATGGCTTTGGGAAATGAAAACGCAATTAGAAATAAAAAGAGCAAGAAGAATGATGATGAAGGCACGCCAAGATCTTCCAGATCTTCCAGATCTTCTGTATCGTTCAGTTCAGCTTCTTTAGAAAGATAAATATCAATCAGTGATAACGATGAAATAATTAATGAATCATCTTTATTATTATTAAGAAGAAATATATTTTTACTCTTAAAAAATGTATATTACAGGGGTGTTTCCTATTTTTATTATTATTATTATTATAATTTTAGTTTTTTTTTAGAAAAACATTAAAAAAGAGTTGGATAAATTGTTGATGTTTGATTTTTATTTTTTTAACCAAACGAAATTACTTTCTTTTCTCTTTTTTTCTCACCTTCTTTAACTCTTAATTCTATAAGTTTTGGTTAAATTTCTAATAATTTCTTCCTTTTCTCGATTTAATTAATTAATTTTTAATTAATAATAATTAAAAACACAATAAACAATAGATTTGTTTCCAAATAGTTTTTCTTAATTCCTTCTTTCCTTTGGAGAAAGTTCATAATAATAATGATTGTTGTTTTAAAATTTCTTAAAAAGTAAAAATTCTTCATATGAATTTTTTATATGGATAGATATTCCGGGGTGTCATATGCGTCTCCCCATTAGTTACATACATTACACGCGGTATTTAACTTGCACACATTCACCCAAAAAAAAAGATGAACAAAATAAAAAATTTTCATTTTGAAAAAAATTTTTAAAAAAAAAAAACAAATAAAAAAACAATTAAACATAAATAAAATGTCCGAAAAATTGAAAAAAACGCAACAAACCAAAGTAAAAAAAACCAATAACAACAATAAAACCAAAACAAAATTATCATCTTATAATAATATAAAAATTTCAAAAAAAAAAGTTGAAAACAAATCGGATTTAGTTGTTGAAGCCTCTAGTTCCGTCTCATCGACTTTCGCGTCTATTTCAACCTCGGATTTATGCGAAGCTGCTTGCTCACATTTATCGCTTTACAAAGCAGAAAACCCTGATAATTATCTAACAAATTACAAGAAAATAGCTGATTCGTCTGTAACTTGGTACCGGACAGGTATTGAAGTTTCCAGGGGAAAGAAAAGGGAGAGAAAGGTATCTTCATAAAAAATTTTTTTTTAATAAATATGCTTTTTTTCAATTTCAATAATCAATATTATTAATTAAATAGCTGCATCCACAAAAATGTCAAGAATGTAATTTTAATGGTGATCGAATACATTTTTGCCAAGATTGTTTTTATATTGGCTGTTGGAAAAATGGTCATGCAAGATCACATTATAAAAACACTAATCATAAATTTGGTAAATATATATTTTATTTTTTCCTGGATAATTAATAATTTATTAATTCCCATTTATTTTCTATTTTATTAATAGCAACCGATGTGAAAAGATTATATGTGTATTGTTTTGAATGTAATAATTATATTTATGACTTTGAATTTGAAGAGATAAAAAAGCTTGCTGATATTAGAGCAGCAGAAGATGAATCGATTGAAAAAGGTAGTAGAATGTTTGTTCTAAAGTTATAATTACAATATAGCTATAATTATGATATTTTACCCCAAAAAACCAAAAGAACCAAATTCAAAACGAGCAAGATTTGAAGTATACAAGCCTACACCTGAAGAAAGTATTCTTATTAATGAAGGTTCAACTTCATTTACATGTGCGGGTAATAAATTTGTTTATCTTCTTGTACAAAAAATCAATTTAAGATGTTTCACTCAACTTTTTTTTAAAAAAAAATTCCATTCAGGATTTCGTGGTTTATATAATTTGGGAGCGACATGTTTCATGAATGCAGTATTACAAACCTTTATGCATAACCCAATCATAAAAAATTACTTTATGATGGATAAACATAATAGTAAACTATGTGATAAAACTTGTTGTATGTGTTGTGAAGTAGATAATCTTTTTCAAGAGGTATCTAAATATTTTTTTTAATTTTAGATTTGAAAATTACAGCCAAAAAAAAAATAGTTTTATCTTAATTAATAATTGTTTGGTTGATTTTAGTTTCATACAAAAGAAAAAAAACCATACCCGCCATGTTCTTTTCTTTATGCAATGTGGAACAGTTCAACTGAATTAGCAGGATATGCGGAACAAGATGCTCACGAATTTTTTATGGCTGCAATTAATCAAATGCATCTTGATTCTAGAGGTTAATTGATGTTTTTTTCTTCAAATATATATTTATATATAAATTAATATTATTAATTATTATTATTAGAAAGTTCAAAGAATTTGCCTATAGATTGTAATCAAAAATGTGATTGTATTATGCATAAAGCATTTGCATTTTGGATGCGTTCACGAATCACTTGTAAGGAATGTAAAAAAGTGAAGAATATTGATGAGCATATGGTCGAATGGCAATTACACTTAAAACAACGTAATTTGGATAAAAGGAAAAGGAATGGATTATCTAAATTAAAAGCATCTCAATCATCGTCATCACAAGATTCAAATGGTGTTATTATTGCTCATGATGACGATGATGATAAAAATGAACTATATCAATGTTTGAACAAGTTGATAAAATTTTTTTTGATGATATTTATATTGTATAACTGTGACATACTTTATAATTAATTGGAAAATTATATATTTATTTAATATTAGAAATTTATCTGAAGAATTATTATTTGGATATCAATGTGAATTTTGTACTGAAAGGAAAATCAAAAATGGAATACCTCCAGAAGATGCAGCCAAACCTACAGAGGTATGTTTGTGTAAACAACAAAATTACGACTAGAATGAATATATTTATTAATTTAGATTATTTATTATTATTATTATTATTATTAAGAATAATTGTACCAGAACAATTACTGCAAAAAAATTACCGCCTGTACTAGCCTTTGTTGTAGATGTAAGTTTTTTAAATAGTACGATTATTTCAACTAGTTATTTACACTAAATTTTAAAATATTTTTGTATAGCGATTTCATCGAGATAATAAAAAAACTGTCAAGAATGAAGCAGAATTGACATTCTATGAAGAGATTGATATGAGTGGTTACACTAGTATCGCGCAGGATATTTTGATAAATGGAGGATCATTGTATGTTAATCTTTTATATAAAAGAGTATTTATCAAATCTATATAACAACTGATATATTTATTTATATAGGGATGATGTTGAGCCATTTAAATATCATTTGTTATCGGTTGTTAATCACGAAGGTAACTTGAACACTGGTCATTATACTGTATATTGTAAAAACCGTGGTCAGGTAAAATTCTCATTCTTAATTAGAAAAAGTCCATTTTATTTTTTGAAAAAAATAAATTTATTATTTGTTACTACTATTGTTTAGTGGTTTTTATTTGATGATCATACTGTAAGGTTAGCTAGTTCCTCTGAAGTTTTGGCGTCTAAACGTAAAGCGTAAGTTCCAATTATTATATCAATGTTTAGTTAATTATTTAATTTAATATTTATTTTTTTTAAAAAAAAATATATAGCTATCTTTGTTTTTATATTATGGACAATTTGCATTACGACCCACCTCTCACTTTAAATTGATCATGCACGTATAAATAAAAATGAATCATGACAGATGGAACGATTTGAATAATAAAATTCTATCATAAATTAATTTAACATTTTTATGACATCATTTGCTGATAATGATTTGTATTTAATAAAGATTATATTACCAATGATCTTACTATTTTCTCTTTTTTAATTTTTTCTAAACTCTCTATTTGCTTCGCAAATAACTTCTCCCAATATGGAAGACTCTGAACAAAAAAAGGGTAAATTTTGATTAAACAACTGTTTTGATAACCCTTTTTATATTCTAAAGTCGATAAATTGGTATGATGGAGGTATACTCAGGGGCGACATTAATAATAATGTATGTTCCTGATGTGCAAATATTGAAAATTTAATATATATATTAGAACCGAAATCATGTTAATTGCGTTGTATAGAATAAAAAAATTATGATGATCTGACAATTGTCGTCAGTGGTTTCAACGCATGTAGACGGAAATTTACAAATAATGATGCGGTAAACGCTCAGGACATGGATGTGATATTTGTATTTAAAGACGGTGCCAATCTTACCAGACGTGAAGAAGCATCAATGGTATGAAGATTACCTTATATATTCAAATCATCAATTATTATTTTTTTCATGCTCTCCTTTCTTTTCTTTTCTTTTAATAAAGGCTCGACATCAAAGGAATACACCAGACATATGTGAAGCATGTGGATCAATAAAACGTCCGAGTTGATATTGAATTATTCGAACATGTATTTAATAGTAATAAGAGAATTGTTTTGCTATCACAGAATTTATTAGAATTAAAATCTTATTGGTTATTTTTTTTAGTTTTTTTATTGTTAATAAAAAATAAAAAATAAATTGATTTATGAATATAATAATAATTCCATCCTTAACATGTACGGAATGTGTGACATATTCAAAAGGTTTCCATATTAATATTAATATAATAATAACCATACTAATCAATTTCGTTCGAAGAAATTATTATCAGTTATATCAATGAAAATAACTTGAAAACCTATCATCAAAAAAAAAAAAAGATTTATTACTAATTCTTCAGCAAGTCAAAAATCTCAATAATGGTGTTTGATGAATTATTTTAACGGAAAGCTAACAATTAAACAAATGAATTTTTTTAAAAAATATGTAAATTGTTTTATTATATTATTCTACTTTTTGGCCTTCAAGTTTGTAGAGTTGTTCTCTTAAAGGAGGCAATTTCTGATGATCAAGATCTCTTCCTTCATATCGTTCTCAACTTCTTTGATTTTCTGATCGATTTTTTTATCTTTTCTTGGGATCCATAATTATCATTAAGTCAAGATTATTTGTACATAGTAACCTCCTAAATTACTTTTCAAAATATATGGGCATTAACTTGCTTGTTATTTAATATTAGACATCGAAAATACTATTTCACAGAGCTGCAAAAAGTTTTAAAATAAGAGAATTGTGTTGATAAATAGATGTTAAACAAGTTAGAAAAAAAGAAAAAACGTGAACCCTGTTGATAAATCTTAAGAGCGTTGACGTTTTATAAAATAAGGTTGCCATTTTACATTTTTATTACTATATACAAAAAATTATACATACTTTATATGCTTTATTACTTTAGATACAAAATACTATGCAAGAAATAGTTGACAAGAATAATATCTCAAAAAGTAAAGTTATTTAAAGTTTATATTTTTTGCGACCACACTTTTTTCCAAGATTAAATGTGAGAAGCTTCTACTCAAGACAAGTTCATATATTGTAATTAATAATTTCAATATATCAACTCCAGTATAATTGCCTAATTCAATTTATTTCCCTTTTCTTCTTGGAATTCACTCCACCCTTGTATTCATCATCAATGTTGAATTTTCCATTAATTTTGTTAGTTATATATAAAAATCATGAGATTTCTTTAATATTAGGCAAAAGGGTGTTCTTCAACTTCCTAATGATTTCTAATTTTTTTATTTTTTTCAGGAAAAGGAAAAACTAATTCAATGAATGACTTTACTTCTGTAATTAATGGAATAGTTAGTATCCTCTTGATTTTTATGTGCGGTCTTGATTAAAATTTTCAATATAAATTTTTATTATTTTATGCTGTTTTTGTACAACTATCAAAATATGGATAAGGAAAAAGAAAACCATGTTTCTGATCAAGAAATAGCCCGACTTTTTAGAGTCTATACTACTGTACATCAAATGGTGTTAGATCGTGTAAGTGGAAGTGATTTGTTTTTGTTTATTAACCTTTCAACATTATATTGAAACCTCGAATGTTTTTTTTCTCAGGGATACCTTGTCACTGAGGAAATTTGTGAAGATGTTGAATCTTTTAAATTAAAATGTCTTAGAGATGGCATAATAAAGTAAATAAAGGATACTTTTATTTCCTTATTTTTATTTATTAGATTTATAAAAAAATATACTGACGCACATTTATACATTTTTATTTATGCAATTTTAGTAGGGAGGCAATGATGTTTCAAGTGCAAAAGTCTGACAATCCCAATGATCAAATGCTTATTGTGTTTCCTGAAGACAGGCCAGTTGGTGTAAAATATTTAAAAGTGTGAGTGATTTGTTTGATTTATTTAATAAATGCTGTTTTCTAATTTTAATATCAAATCATTCATTATAATTATAATTATAATAGATTGTGTCAAAGAATGATGGATGCAAAAATCACTAAAGGAATTGTAATTTATCCTACAACTCTTACAGCAGCAGCAAATAAAGTAAATTTAATCACTAATTTAATTAATTGATTATTGTATATTATAATAACCACAATGACGATGATGATGATGATATATATATATATTGATTTCAGGCAATCCAATTAATAAATTCCAAAGAAACCAAACATTATGAAATGGAAGCATTTTCTGAAGCTGACTGTATGGTTAACATTACTCGTCATCAATTGGTTCCTAATCATATTGTATTGACTGATGAAGAAAAAAAGTCATTACTTCGTAAATAGTAAGATTATTATTACTAATACTATTATTATTACTTTGTAGAATTTAATATTTCAACATAATAATCAAATTTTTTTATTTGCTGATGTTAAGTCGATTAAAAGAAACTCAATTACCACGTATTCAAATGACTGATCCCGTTGCCAAATATTATGGATTAAAAAGAGGACAGGTTTTTATTCCATAGAAATAAATTTTTACGTAATTACATTCATTATGATTATTAGTTGTTTATTATTAAATTGTTTATTGATTTGTTTAGGTTGTTAAAATAATGAGACCTAGTGAAACTAGCGGTAGGTATGTAACATACCGTCTTTGTTTCTAAAATTGAATATTTAAAAGATCAAAAGCAATTGCTGTGGTGAAAAAGTAATAAAAACTACTTGGGCGAATTCATAGTCTTTCAATAGATTTTTTATTTGTATAAGATTGTTGTTAAATTTAATAATAAACGAAATCTGTGTGATTGATAAATAATTCTATCCATTGATACATTAAATTTTGCAACAGATCGTGTTTGATCGCATATTTGTTTTCTAAAAAGAAATTCCCTAAACAATATTTCTCGTTGACCTTATATCAATTCATAAAAATTTATTTAGAATTTGGATTAATTTGTTTTCTTTAAATATCTTATAGTTGATGAATAATATAATTAGTAAAGTAAAGCAAAATAAATTCCATTTGTTAATTCAGAGTTCTTATACCTGGTTGGATCTTTGCCCAAAAAATTATTTAAAAATATCTGGAATTTTACATACTATAATGAATTATTTGCCAATATTCCCAGAAATCTCTCTTACAACCCAACCCTTCTTTATCTTTTATCATAGTTGAAATATCCATTTGACTGACATTTTAAAATCAGGAACATATAACTTTGATTAAAAAATTAAATGCTTTTAAAATTATCTTGATCACCATAAAAATTGAACTCGAAAATACAGCTTCCCACAAATTACATTTGCCAATAATTCTTTCTTTGTACTTTTTACCAAAGAACGTAGCAAAACTTCTCTGTACTGAATCACTTGTGATAAACCAGACAAAAACTCGTATATAGTTGAGGTTTTTTCAAAGGGAACACCTTCCTAATTTAGAAGAAAATTTAACTAGTAAACGTAAGATCGGGAAAGATAAGCCAATAAAATAAATATAAACGTATTCATTGGCTCAATTTACAAGATTGATTGATTGTTAATATTAAGTGAATTATTTGCTTGCTCGATTAATTTACTAAATGGCCGACTTATATAGAATGAGTTTGGGTGTCAACTTTCTGACTTGATGATCCCTTGATTTTGAACCAGTTGAATTTTAGCACGTGATGCAACTGACTTGCTTAATTAAGTAGGTCGAAAGTTGATCGTTTTTAGTGCGCGTAATGGAGGTAAGATAATTTTTAAAAATGGACACTCCCTCTGATACACTCAAAGAAGTTCTTCAAATGCCGAGTTATCACCAAATTCATTCAATTCCACAGAAAGAAATTCTCGACCATCTAATAATAGACTTCAGATAGATAACATCTATAACTTAAATGAATCACAAAAGGCTTGCTTTAGAGATAGCAAAAGCCTACATAAGAGAAATACAAACTGTGGTATGAATAGATCTTTCATGAAACAAATTAAGTTTATAAAATTTATATAATCATCATTGGTTTTTTTTAATATTATATATGTGTGTGTGTACGTATATATACATAACCTTTGAAAATATGGAATTTTGTTACCAGTAGATTTACTAGTTGGTTTTATTATTATATCACAGATTGATTTATAACCCATTTACTTTTATTTATACACTCTATGCACCCTATTTCAATAGTGTGATATTATATATTATACTGTATTATACTATATTATATCTTACTATTTTTTTATTTACATATACTGGGCACATTGAAAGATGGTGATTATAATAATATTCAGGATTTCATTTGGATCTTAAACGACCATTCAGTATGTCAAATGAAATTTTACCTTGACGAAAATTTTTAAAATTTTATGATTTTATAAATACAACATACGCGCGTGCGCACACACATTTATATATTGTTACTATTTAAACAAATTATTATCAACAATGACCATCATCAGTTTCTATATTTCCAAAATTCAAGATGTTCACTTATCTTCTGGATGTAGCAAGTTACTTTAGGTTCGATCTTTCTTATTATTATGTAATAGTAATCAGTCAGACAATTTTTCGATTGATCATTCATATTTAATATGTAAAATAGAAATTCCAATTGGTTTTTTAAAATATATCATTATTTTTATATCAATTCAAGCATCAATATTAATCTAGAATAAAACTATGTCATTATAGTTTTCTAATGAATACCTTCTCGTATCTATATAGACTCTTTATGTAAAGCTATAGCTACTCAAAAGCAGCATTACTTTTTACTTCAAAACTAAGATTTTTATCCGATATTACTTTTATAAACTTACGGAGTGGCTGAAAAGATGGAAAAGATTGTAAGCTTTCATATGGGTATCGCTTTATGCGGATTGTTGTTTATTAAAGTTAGCGAAAATGGCAGAAATCATATTTGTTGCAGGTTACATTTGATGAATCTTTATTTTTGTTAATTGTAAACCTTCAACCAAATTGTGTGTCAACAAGCAATATTATTATATTTTTGTGAGTTTTTTTATATGATAAACATTCCAGATTGATATTTGCATACAAGCTTTACTATTCCAATAGTAGCGTTTTTCATTAATTCCTTTTAATGAGCGTGGATTTTGATATTTGTATATAAACAAAGGCGTTAAATTCTCTGTCCTAATTACATTGTATGTAAGTAGGTCTGTTACTCTACCTTGGTATTTTTTCGTTCTGAAAATTAATGGATCATGCTTCTCCAATATCAGCAAACGGAGTAACAGATGGTCTTTTTAATTTTGCTTGATAAGGATTTGGATCAACTTTAAGCCGTTTACCAGGCTCTTTTAATATATCACTAACTTGACTCCACATTTGTTTACTAAATCAATACTTTTTGGTTCAGGTTTACTTTTTTTTCAAAATGCAAAAACAACCCACGTTTTTGTTCAGCGCAGTAATATATACGCGTTTTTTTTATGAAGATGATTATTGTTAGACATTTCAATTATATAAAAATTAATAAAATAAATTCATCTTAACAATCTATAAGAGATTTTGAAAGTATTTTTTTGCTCGCGTACATTAGATTGTTCATATGTCACGTGAAATCCGTTGTAGTATATTAATATAAAAAAATACCGTTACCACTTTGGCTAACAAAATCCGTAAAGATTAATAAAAAAAACGAAACTATAATAATAACATAATAATAATAACAACAACAATGACAGGAATCCGCTGTATTTGAATAGTGGAAAGAAATTTACCTAGTAAACTTTGTTTCACCAATTGCTTATTATTATTATTATTATTATTATTATTATATTATTATTATTATTATTATTGTTATTGTTATTGTTATTGTTACTAGAATTACTATTGTTATTATTGTTGTTGTTGTTGTTGTTGTTGTTGGCGAAAGACATTTTAATTTGAGTGTGGGAGAAAAATAATTTATTTACCAAATTTGATTATTTAATGAAAAAATTTGTTTCACACATTTTTATCAAATACGATTTTACAATAAAATGCATTTTTTGATCTCGAAAGAAATATAAATCAATATTTAATAATTGGTAGTATTTATGCATCTCCAAATAAGCAACAAGACTTTTTTGTTACTGGTCGCGTAACAATTCTTTGGGAAAAGGGAAAAATAATTAATAATGTAACGTTTGCATGCGTAATAATTTATTATTAATAGTAGTAGTATTATTGCAATAATATCAACTAGGATATTGAATTTCTATCTGATAACAGTTTTCTAAAAATAAATAATAATATAACTAATTTGATGGCCCACTTATTGAATGAGAATATAATTGTAATTGATATGAAATTATTTTGGTGAATAATACATTGTTGATTTTGATTGGTCTGGGAATGATTCTGATGTAAAGGATTGTTTAACAATCTAATAAATCTTAAATTAAAAAATGTGTATACGTGCGCGACCAAAGGGACCGATCCTCTTTGAATTTGTTATTAAAAATCGTGGTCCCTGTCCTTTGAATGCGCAGTTGTTTGCGATATGAGAAGGTTTCAAACAAATAAGACACCTACTACCATCTTTATGTTCTGGTCTTATGTTGAGGCATTGACTTGGTCGATGTCTCCTATAATTGCATGCAAAACAAATTGTGCCGAGCATACACTCCATTTGCTGACATTAGTGTTTGTTGTGTTGGCGTAGGGATAGTTATTATAATAAGTGAAAGCAGCAGTAGTATCATAAGTATAATGATGCTGTTTCTATGGCTGGTGACGACGTTCTTGGTGCAAGTAGGGAACCTTGGTATGATAACGATCGAGCTAAATGATTTAAAGAAGCTTGTAATGCATAATCTTGTAGATTACGAGTGTGAATGTAAAGGGAATAATGGTGGAGCCCTGTTTAACTCCTCCAGAATGAATGGAATTTTGATCATAACAAAAATGATCATTGCATACATCTAATTCTTGTGCTACTTCTTTACAATTTCTAATCCATCTCCCATGATCCAATAAACTGTCCTAAACGTCTCAGATTAGACATGGATTTATTTTCCCATTAGTATTATGGCACAGGGTGTGAATTGCCTCCTAGGTTTGTATATGGATATAATGATGATACAAGTTTCTTGAATTGTACCAGCCATAATTTCTGTTCCATTGGAGAGGCCCGTGCTGTGTCAGGCGTGATTTGTACCCTGTTAGACAAAAATTCAATTTATTATTAGTGTTAGCGTTGTTAGCGTTAGTGTTAGTGTTAGTGTTAGAGTTAATGTTAATGTTGGTGTTGTACTAACAGTGTTGGCATTTGTATTTGAAGTATTTGAAGACTTTTTTTTTCTTAATTGTGAAATTATTTTTTTAAATTGTGAAGGAAGGAAGGAAGAAAGAACTTTTTTTTAAGATCTTTTACCAAGGAAGGAAAAAAAAGTAATTTCACTAACCTATATCAAGGTGCAAATTGATGAAATAAATGTGATAGAAAAGAATACTAATAATATGTATTTTTGACATAGAACAAAAAAAATCAATAATTAAATTCTCTAAAACTTATTAATCAGTGCCCCCATAAAGTAATAAACATATGAAAGTTTAGAGTATTCTATACCTTCTCTGTTAATATCAAGTCATTTAGAACGACATCGAAAAATAATCTCAGTAATACCATTTTTGGATAGTCGTGGGTTTATGCAGAGGAGAACTTTTAATATGAAAATGGTATTCATTAGGAAGCCTTAATGGAGAAATTTCATTTTACTTTAATAATGAGGTTCGAGCTTATTTTATTTTTAATATATAAAAACGACAAATGATCCTCTTGTAGGAATCAGACCCTTTTAAAGCAACTAGGTGATGAAAAGAAAACAACAGAAAATTACAACTAGATATAAATAACAAAAAATAACAATTAATAAATCAACAAACCAAGGAGATAGAGAGAAAATAAAAGATTTAAAGAATGAATGGTTATAATAATAAGCAAAATAAATCCGAAAGGACCACTTACAGCAAGAGTTAGATTGAAAAGAGGGTGTTTGAATTAGGGCTCTAAATGACTGGTATGTGCCTAAAATGTAGAGACGAAGTCACTGGTACAGGCAGAAACATTGGTGTCAACAGTGCCCAGTGTGATGTCAAAGTTGCCCGGAATGGGCATTTGCAGAACCCTATTTTGAATTACTCCGAGTAATTTCCGAAGAATTAAAACTTGGTCTAGCTAGTGAAAAATCAAAGCTTTAGAGAAGTAATTGCCGCAAAAGTGCCGAGCGTTCCTCCTACTAGAAAGTGATTTAAGAAATAGAGGATCTGAAATTACTAAGGAATTTATTCCTGGAAAGTAAAAAGAAACTGCCCCTGTAACTTCTTCAAAGTTCCAAATACATATACGCTGATTTTGTTTTGAACCCCAAATTCAATGCAGTATGATCATAACGTTATGAATACTCTATACTAGAAAAAACCCATTGGTTTTGAGGTGGGCCATTGGTTTGACAGACTGTTGAATAGTAAAATATTTTTTTTAGCGGGGAAAATAAATTTTTTTATGGTATAATCATTCTACTGACCAGTTTACACATTGAAAATACTCGTGTTTAACGTCGAAACACAATAAGATATAAGGTTGAAAAAAGGGCCCAAAAACCAAATTGGTTGATGTGAAAATACCTAAATAATGGAATATTTAAAATACAAAAGTCATCAACAATGAATATTTAGAAATAAATGCTTATATATGTTGTTTCTTGTGTCATTTTTATTACAATAAATGGTATTTATTGACTTGATATTAGTTAGTTAGATCAATTCACGAAACGCATAGTTCAAAGGCAACCTTTGGACAAATTATCAATGTGTATCAAAATCATTAATTTCAAATGTGTTAAAAGATCTAAAAATGAAAATCTACGAGAGGGAAACTTCCTCAAGTTGAAACTTGCCTTGTGTTTATGTGTTTATCTTCAATCTAGTCATGTCCGAGACATAATGAAATCAAAAGAATTGCAATTCCAAAAAGAAGGTACTATCATATAAAACAAATATCCTTGAAAATTACAGTGAACAAAAATTGGGTTCACTGCAACGAGCATCTTTTTTTTTCTGCGCATAATAATAAATACACAAGCATAATCACGCTTGAAAATTTTTAATGGTATCTTTAAACTATTTATCCTGTCTATTATAACCTCCAAACTTAGCCTTTTCTTCAAAAATGTTGCAATAACCATCTTTTATTTATTACATGGAAAAATTTGGCCCGTATAAATCACATTTGTCTATTTTAAAATAATTTCCTGATGCATTAATTCTCTCTTATTGATCACACTTTACGCTTTACAGGAATAAGTTCTAAATATAAAATAAGCACCCATCGATTATTGATTGCTTTAACCCTCCTTGTTTCACTTCCATAATCTTTACACCTTGCCCATTATTTTCTGTCCCTTCTTCCCCAAAGATAGGATGGCCCCAGAACTACAACTTCGAAAATTATTACTATTCATCATTTTGAAGCATTTTTTTAATAATTGCAGGAGACCTTAAGAAAAAAAAAAGAAATTTAAATAATTAAAGAAACTCTTTTAAAATCAATCATCTGATCCAAAGTTATTAACTCACAAATATTATATAATGATTAAGAAATATTGAAAGAGAGGGTGGTGACCAACATAATAATTAATATTAGTAAAAATTCCGAATCGTGTAACAAGCCGTTTTTAAAATAAAAATTATATGGCCAAAAAAATTTTTCTCTAAAAAAAATAAATAAATGACAACCCAAACTCAAGATCTCCCACCACCAGGCGGATTTCCTACAATCAAATATAAACGTAATGTTCCTAGAAAAGGACCCTCTGGTTTTGTACTTTTTTCAGCCATGTTCGCTATATGTACATATGGTTTTTATAAATTAGGACAGGCAAATGTAGAAAAAAGGTTAGTTGAAAAGTTGTGGATAGAAAAATATTTTTTTTGAAAAAGCTTTTCTCTCAATTATCGTTATCATTGTTAATATAAAATTAAGGGAACTTCAACGTGAGAAAGTGTGGTCACGTATATATTTGGTTCCTTTGTTACAAGCAGAATTAGATCGTGATTCTTACAGAAGATCACTTGCAACTCTAGCAAAAGAAGAAGAAATAATGAAAGATGTTCCAGGTTGGAAAGTAGGAGAAAGTGTTTATAATAACAAGAAAAGATTTATTCCACCTTCAATTGTGGTTATACCAGAACATTAATGTTAAAAAAAAAAAATATATATATATATAAAATATCATGTATGATTAATCTTAAAATTTGAATATATTTTATCAATAATTGTTAATAGTATTTTATTAAATTAATTTTATTGATTAGAATTATCAATAGATTCACCATTATCGTTGCCACCGTCATCTTCAATTTTAATAATTTCATTTTGATCAATATTCCAGTCAAATTCGTTGTCGTCAATAATTTCATTTTGATTTTGACCAATATTTAAAGAGCTAATTGTAATAAGCCCAAACAGAATGTTAATGTGATATAAATTCGAATGATTGGATCAATCATTTGGACTTGTCCTCTTCGGGTCAAGATGTCTGAATATAATAAATAAATCATTAATAAGAATTTTAATGAAGGAAAAAAAAATTTTTTACTTGTAAAACTTTTTATTTACATCTCTCATACATGTAATTTTATCATCTCTATATTCAATTCTTGTTAATAATGTTATAATGTGCATAACAAGCCAATGATTTTTTGAAATATATATTTTTTTTTCTTTATATTCATGTACAATACATACTTGTAACTGTTTATAAAACTTTATTTGGTGGACTCACAGGATCAGCTTCAACCCAATCTAAATGTATACAGACTTCAAATATTTTACACTCATAAAAAATTTTATTTATTCACATTTAAAACCTTACGTCTCGCATCTTTGTTCTCGTTAGCAATAAATTAAAAAAACCAATACATTCTTTCTGCGTATTGTTTTAAAACATCGATCGAAGCCTTTGATCAAATATTTTATTTACTACTGGTACTTTAATTAACAATAAAAATTAATCAAATCAAACAATTAATTAATTACCTTCTAAAGTTGTCTAATGTTTCATCACTAATAATATCTCAACTATTCAACTAGCACGACAATAATTTTGAGACTGAAGAGGATATACAAAGTAAATCATATAAATAAACTCTTATGTGTAGTCGCTATTTCATCTATAAAATTCAGTTGGGATGGTTGTGCAGAAAATTTGTATATACTAACAAATTTAATATTACATATTTTACGAATACAGTCAAACTCCTCTATAATCACATGGTCGGGACCAGAGATTTTTGGTGATTATAGCTAATGTGACTGTATAAGATCCCTCCTATATAAAATTCAGTCAGTGATTATGAAAAAAAAAATTTAATATTTATTAAAAAGATAATAATTTACATAAGGATAATAATGAAAATAGTTTCAATTATTTATTGTGATTTTGATGCTCAAAATATTCCATCATTGTATCTACTGCTTTCAAAACATTCGCAGTAGTCACAATAATTTTTGGTTCATCAATGAATATCTTCACTTTCTGATTCAATGTTTACTTTGCCCAAAACCATTTGAACTAATTTCATCATCATCTAAGGGCTTTTCAGTCAAGTTCAATTCATTGTCATTGATATAATTATCATTAATATATTCTAAAATTCTAATTCATCATCACTAATATCTGTTTGATTTAAAGATTCAATTATTCTATCAGTGGTAATTTGTTCAATTTCAATTGTTTCTACATTGATAACATGAAATCGATGATTATATATGATGAATATGAAAGTGTATATGATAAAATTTAATATATAAAAATCAGAACCAAAAGGCTCAGTGATTGTATAGGAATTGTGATTGTATAGGATGTGACTATATAGGAGTCTGACTGTGTTTTGAATATTCGTCGAATATATTCAAATTCATCTTCGTAATTAACGATGTATAATTTAGCACTAATCAAATTTGGAAATATTATACAGGTTTCTGTATCTATATATAGCACAGTTGATTTTCACCGCAGAAAATCATCGTCCCTGCGCTCGCGGTTTATATCAATTTACAAAAAAAAAAAATTTTTATTCATCGGGAAAATTTTTTTTTTTTTCAATAAAAGATTTTTTTTAAAACATAAATATTCAAATATTTCCAGTTTGTAATTTATAATTGTTATAATTTATTCTTTATCCACTGATGTAGATTTGTAAAGTAATCTACATTCATGATATATACATTATTAATGTAAAATATGTTATGAGTAACGGTGCAGTGGTATATTAAAATGCTTGTTTCAAAGACAATATTCGTCTATATAATATATTTTATAACTAGCGATGAATATTGTAAGATAGCATTGCAACATTTAATTAATTTTTTTTAAAAATAAAGATTTATTATAATGTTGTAATAAATGAATGGAAAGTACACTTGAAGATCAGGTGATTTATTTTTGATTCTTTTAATATTTGGAGCTGTAAAAAATATTTTAAGTTATTATTTATTCTTATTACACCAACAACAGGTTTTGTTTGAAGATAATACATTCCAGGTTTTAAACCTTTCTTCCATCCATGACTATAATCAATAATAATTAAAAAAATCAAAAACTAATATAATACATCTTGCATCATTTATCACCATTATCATCATTATTATTTTGAAATCACTATTACATTCTGCTGCCATATCAATGGTGATAATTCACATGTGGTTTTATACATAATACTTTTAATTCATCAGGAATTCATTAAGTTTTCTGATACTTCCATTATTTGCAATAATCTTATACCATCACTCCACGAATCTAAATCTATCAGATCTTTTAAATCTTTTATGTGGAATTTACCTACTAATACATGTCTAGTATAAATATTGCTTGTAACGTGGTTCAAAACATTCATTAATTCTAATATTTATGGTGTAGAAGAAGCAGCAGGCAGTTTTAAAGAATTCCAATACCGTAAATCTGATGGAACTTCATTATCCCACATATAAATATGTAGAATTTCTTTTGTAAGTTTCATACGAACCATGCTATTTTGCTAATTCGCATGATGATTCTATAGCTACATGGTCCAAAAAGATTTCAATTCAACCTGAGAACATATATCTTTGACAAAGTCGTCTAATTAATATTTACAAAGTTGTTGGACTATCCCTTCGCTATCGTTACGAATTAGTGAACCAACGTCACATCATTGTGTTTATTTTTATGGGTTTAAAAAAAAAAAAAGGACAACCATATTTGTTAGGACTTTAATAATAATAATATCAATGGGATGCTGGCAGTTTATTGGATTTGTGACTGCTACGCCACCATAATACTTTTTTTTTTGAAAACAATTCCTAGAGTCCGTAAAGAAATATTTAGAAGTAAATCGAAAATCAAAAATAATTGATAAATGGTATAAGACAATAATGTTATTAATGTTATTAATTATTAATTAATTAATTGGTGTTATTATTATTAATTTAATAAGGATCTAGGAATTTAGTTTTATATTTAAAATATCTAAAAATTATTATGAAAAAAAAAACTTTACACTATTTAAAATACAAATTCTTCAAACATCATCTAGCATCATCACCATTCATTAATTCGCAAAAAAGGTAAAAGGACCGTATTTAACAATTGCAAAAGCGATCGTCCCTAAAAAGCAAAATATTATTAATTAATTAATAGTTATAAAATAAAATTAAAGAAATAATAACAAACCAAATAAAACCGGCACCCAAAACAAATATAACATTTTATCTTGTCTTAATTTTCTAAATTTCTGGTTATGATAGTCTGCTAATTGTGCAAGTTGATCCTCATTTAAATTATTAGGCTCATAACCAACCATACGATGTAAACTTGAAATATTGATGTGGGTAGAACCTGGATGGCTTTCTTCTGGTTTGTAAGGAAGAGGTACGACATGTTGAACGTAGAATGGCCACATGTTAGCAATTTTTGAAAATCCTGTAATATCTTGTCCAATATCTTTTGGTGATGAAGAAGTTGGTTGTTGTTGTTGCTGTTGTTGTGTGTTTTCTTTTTGTTTATTCCATATGTTTTCTGCATTATTACCATCATGATTACAGAAATCAGAATTCATTTTTTTTGCATCACTAGCCAACTTTTTACAACTACTACCGGCACCAGCATCGTCATCAAGTGTAGTTTCTATACTCTTTTCATAATTTCTGGAGAAACTTCCAACAAAACTAGGTGGAATAAAGGTTTGAAAAGTAACGGTTGGAAATTCTATGTTGACGTTTAAAGAAGGCATTGATGGCATAGATGGTCGTGGAATTGATATATTTTTACCAAAATTCATTGTTGAAAAATTCGGAGAAGAGAAATTGTGAAGATTTGGTATTTTGATGTTTGGTAAATAAGTATTGATTTGAGAAGGTTTGCTTATAGCTGGCATATGTAAATGAGCAAAAGTTTTTTGTAGCCAAACAGTTGATGCAGTTGCTAAATCTGTGGCCATTTCTGAAAAATGTTGTTTCTCATTTTTCACACTACCATTACCGACAACAACATCACCGTTATTGTTATCAACCACCTCTGCATCAACAATTCCCTCGTCGTCGTCGCCGTCATCATCATCATCATCATCATCATTATCATCACCAACATCATTGTTATCCAAGTTATTATTGTTTAATAATCTTGCTGCATTTTCAGAATCTACCCATGAAATTGGTGAAACTTCTACATCATTTATTAAAGAAGAGTTTTGATCAATATTAAACGATGGTGATGATGATGATCTTAAATCATTTTCGTTTGAATAGCTTTTATTAATTGAATAATGTGATTCATGATCATGGAAAGTATTAACATGATTATTATAACTATTCAAATAATCATCAGAATCATCAATTGTTTCATTAGATGATGTTTGTGATAATGATACACCCGAATCTTGAAAATCATAGTCGTAAATTAAGTCAGAAATATCATTAAAATTTCTGGAAATTGCCAAATCTATTGAACTTTGATAATTGAAGTTTAAAATATCATCATCAGCGCCGGCTATTATAAATAGAAATGGAAATATATGAATTAATACTTTACGTTTATATAAAAATAAAGAAAATTTATTTTTACCTGACAAAAGGGATCTCACTATTTCTTTCCTTCCGGTCCATGCAGCATAATGAAGAGCTAAATTTTTAATTTTTAATTTTTAATTTTTAACAACAAACAACATAAATAAAATTATATTATACTATGTTTCATTCTACCTGTGAACCCATATTCATCTTGTACATCCAAGCCGATTTCTCTTTCAATCAACACAGAACATAATTTTTGATAGCCTAACGTAGCAGCAAAATGCAACATGGTATGTTGTTGACGATTTTGTAAAGATATACTATCATTGTAATCAGTCTGAATCTCATCCATTAAATCAATCAAGGAAATAATATTTCTTTCGAAATTAAAAATTGAGGCTTGGTAAATTGACAATAAATTATCATTATTATTCAAACTATTAATGGAATGATTGTTACTATCACTACTATTGGCATTATCAGCATTATTAAAATTGTTGTTCATAAAATGAGAGTTGTTATTGTTATTATTTCCTACAATTCTTGTGGCGATATCGAGTGCATCTTCAACCTTTCCAGTCATTTTCATCCCTATGACTTGTAATGCTAATTCCATTAATGCACGATCTGTATCTAATATTTTTAATGTGATAGTAATAATATATAAATAATATTAATATTAATAACATTAAATAAAAAAATATATGTATGTATATAAATAAAATGATTACTATTAGTATAATTGAAAATAGTAAAGTCTTGATTAGTATGCTCTTTGAAAGTAACAGCAACTGGTCCGGGGGTTGGTGAAGGTGGAAGATAACAAACTAAGGCATTCGGTGACCAAAATTGTGTCTGAAGAGCAGGTATTTCACCAAAAACACAGGTCAACCCATCTAATGTAAGATATATATGTACATGTATAAAATAAATAAATGCCTTCATGCATATATATACAAATATATGAAATTTGCTAGAAACATACCATAAAAACCACTTCCTAAAACAGTTACTTCAATTCCACCATACATTGGACCTTCTGAAGGTATTAATTTGTTCATTTTCGGTATTTGGAATTCAGCCATTGTGTTATTCTGGTATGTGGAAGCAGCAGCACTAGTTATATTTCCATTTGAATTATAGAAAGATCTTCTGATCATTGGATTGTTAGAAATATGTGAATTATGAAGTCTTATTGAATCAGCATAACTTCTTGTGTTTGCATTGTTGATGTTAAATCTTGTAGGATCACTATCAAAATTTTGTAGTAACTGTGTTGGATCATAAATAGAATTAGAACAGCTTATTGATGCTAGATTGATAACATTTGCATTATCATTGTTTCTTATTGAAGAAGCAAAGTTATACTGAGATGCAGGTGTTTCCATGATAGAAGTTTGATCAAATTGTTGATGATCGTGCAATCGGGGAGGGTATTGTTGTTGGTTATGTTGAAACGATAATGAATTGGTATTATTCGAAAGATTAGATAGATTTTGTGGGGCAATATGAATAGGTGAAATGGAAGAAATTAAATTTGGAGTGGTTTCCAATGAAGGAGCTTGTTGTTTTATATTATTTTTTGATAATTGAGGAGATGAAGTTAAAGGTGATGAAGTGTCTTTTGAGTCATTTAACAGTGAAGAATCTGGTTGAATTTCAGCTGGAGAGATGCTCATCATTAAATTATTACTGTTGTTGTTGTTCCTATAAACGTTACTAGAAGGAGATGAGGTGGAAGAAGGAAGCGGAGAGGAAGGTTTATGGTGTTGTCTATCGTTTAAAATTTTTTTGGATGAATTATTTGTATTACTATGACCATGTTCAGTTCTTAAACGTTTTTTTGCCATTCCATTTTTTATTTTAGATGATTTATGATCATCAGTTATCATGATAGGAGGTGACATTCCTGTTGCAATAATATTATTTGTATGATCTTTTATGCTAAAACAAATTCTAATTTATTTTATCAAGAAGTAATAATGTTGTTGTTGTCATTATTGTCATTATTAGTTAAATTAAAAAAAAAAAACAATATAATAATAATTTTTATAAAAAATAATTACCGAAATCCAACTTTTTCATTATGATGTCTGCAATAACAAGTTATTCTTGTTGGTAAAATAATATCACCACTATTGAAATCAACAATTTGATTACAATTAAATAAAAGAATTTTATTTTGTTCCAATTGCATTATTTTTTCATCATCTAAATCCGTAAACTCATTATTATCATCTGTTGATGGTTGTTGCGTGAAATTTAAATTAGAGGTATCGCTATTATTATTATTATTATTATTATTATTATTATTATTATTATTATTTTTCTTGTTTTCTTTTTTACGTTGTGAACGTTTTCTCTATTAAACAAATTAATTAATTAAAGTAAACAAATAAATTATTATACAAGTAATATATATATATATATATATATATATATATATATAATGAATGCTTTACCTCACGTTGAACACAACCAAGACAAGCAAGAACTTTTTTTGTTGTGTCACTTGCACAAACAACAGATGCTTCCAGATTTAATATATGATCTTGCAAAACATTAGAGAAATGATCAGAAGGATTTTTTGAATTTTTTATTTTGAACTTTTCTTTTGCGACCATGTATTCGGGTAATTGTAAATGAGACCAACATGTGACTTTTTCTCCTCTTTCAGTGACAAGTTGCAAACACAATTTAATTTGAGTTTCTACACGAGATTTAGCACCATTTTGATTTATTCCTAATATACGAATCTAAGAATTTAAAAGTTGATTTATTTAATAATAATATAAACCATAATCATATTGATTATGTTATTATTTACCTGTGATCTTCAAAAGTGAAAATTTGAAGTAATATAAATTAGATAAAACAACATGAACAAATAAAAATATACTTTGTTGCCAAATAATATAATTACTTTTTATCAATATCTTGTATTTGCTTTGTGAGACATTCAGTTGCGATATTTTTTTCCCTTAATATAAAATCATAAATCTGATATTAACATATACATATCACATAATATATAATTACCAGTTTTATAGCTTACATGTTATTATTCCGAGTAAAATCAACAATATCAAACTATTAACAAAAATTTATGTTAATAATTATAATTGTAATATTCGTAATCACTATTAAGGAAAACTTACACAGTTATTATTAGCAGTATGTTGTTGCTGTTGATTATGAACAACAGCAAAAGCTGAATTATGGTTATTGTTATTGTTACAAACAGGTGATTGTTGAGGAGTTATGAAAATAGCATTGTTATTTGTAGCAAGTTCATCTGAAACTTCGAGTTTTGGATCTAACATTTTTGTTATTGTGAATGAAATATGAATTATTTCCAATCATGAACAATGGATTTTTAAATTCTCATAATAAGTTTTATTAATGGGAAAATTTTTTAAATTTAAGGGCCCAAAATAATTTCGGTGTCTTATTGTCTTGTTACTATTCTCATTCAATAAAATATTAGCTTGTGAATCACATTTATGAATTAATTGATGTATGCTAATTGACATTTTATTTATTAATATATTAGTACTAACACTACATATATATCTTTAAATAAACCAATTTAGATTGCTTTAATTACAAAAAAAAAAAAAACTTTTTAAAAAAAAATAGACTGTCAGAATGTGCAACTACCCTCACCATACATAAATGTAGGCAAGATCATCAAATGGCAACTTATAAAAAGCTACCACGCTTCCCATTACAGATAGTGCACTCTAAATCATCATCCAGTCCAAACGTTGTGTCTAAGTTGGAAAACGAAGACAGGTGATGTACTATATACAGATCCTGTAAAGTACAGTCGATGAAGAAACTGTTTTGATGCGAATTGCCGATTTATACAAAAGTTTTTTAAAAATTTAAAATTATGGGATTTTATGATGATTGGGGTTGGGTTGGGTTGGATTGGATTGGATTGGATTGGATTGGATAATTGTATTGAATTTGATGGTTGGATTGTATTGTATTGGATTGTATTGGATTGTATTTGTATTGTATTGGATGATTGGATTGTATTGGATTGGATTTGATTTGATGATTGTATTGTATTGTATTGTGTATTTGATTTGATGATTGGATTGTATTGGTTTAATAATTGTATTATTAAAAAATCAATACAATACATAATAATAAAATTTTGAATCTATAAATTATAAAAAAAAAATCCATTAGAAAAAAAGAAAAAAATGGTTAAAGAACAACAAATTAGACCTTCTACGAACTTTACAAACACCATCAATCCGATTGGTGATGAAAAACATGAAAAACATGAAAAACATGAAAAACTTTTTCATGAACTTGAAGAAATTGTCAACGATGAGAATAATGAGCAAATCAGACCAACAGAAATTGAAAGTTATTGTGTAAAATGTGGTGAGAATGTATGTTAATAAATTAATGATTATGCGAATAAATTATATGGATAAATTACATGAGATTATGTATTAAATATTTAAAAATTGTATTTTAAAATAATAAGGGTATTACTAAAATTTTATTAACAAAAATCCCGCATTGGAAAGAAATAGTGATCATGAGTTTTGAATGCCAAGTAAATCATTATAATTATAATTATTGATTAATTAATCTTGTTGTTGTTGTATTTGATTTATCAAAAACTTACAATATTGATTATTATCTTTTTTAAGCATTGTGGACTTAGAAATAATGAAACACAATTCGCAGGACCAATACCAGAAAAAGGATGTTCGTACACATGTACAGTTGAAACAAAACAAGATCTAGATCGTCAATTGGTAAAGTCGGAAACTTGTATAACAAAATTATTAGAGATTGACTTGGAAATGCCATCGGCAAATCAGGGTGGTAAATTATCCACAATTGAAGGAATTATTACCAACATCATCGAAGATTTATCAATCGGTCAGGTAGTAAGAAAAGAGTTGGAACCTGAAACCTATGAAAAAATTGATTTGATAATAAAAAAATTGTCGGTGGATTATCTAGAAATCAAAGAAAAGTTCACTATAATGATTGATGACCCTGCAGGAAATAGGTAAGTATTATTTTTTTATTGTTTATTATTTATCAATTTCTTTCCTTCAAAAAAATTTATTAATATTTATATATCTTCCTAGTTACATAGAAAATTTATGCGCGCCAAATCCTGATCCAAAATTACAAATTCGTTATTATAATAGAACTCATGAAATGGATATTAAATTGGGTATAGTTGCTCCAGACGAATTAAAAGATCCCGAATCAAATAACCATAAAGATGAAGATGAGAAAGCGGAAGAAAAGGAAGAAGTTGGTAATGATGTGATGGTATTCCCTGCAAATTGTTCAAATTGTAATTTACAATGTGACACGAGAATGCATTTAGTAAATATACCACACTTTAAAGATGCGATCATTATGTCAACTGTTTGCGATGTAAGTTAACATATTTATATAAATATTCATATCTTTTTCAAATCGCTAACGCACATATATGCTTATATGTATGTAGTCATGCGGGTATAAATCAAATGAGGTAAAATCAGGAAGTATGATATCAGAAAAGGGAAGAAGAATCAAGTTAAAAATATTAGATTTAGAGGATATGTCAAGAGACATATTAAAATCAGAAACGTGTGGATTATCAATACCCGAAATAGAATTGGAGTTGTTGTCTGGTACTTTAGGTGGTAGATTTACAACGGTTGAAGGATTGCTAAAACAAATTTATGATCAATTAGAGGGAACGACGCCGTTTATTAGTGGTGATAGTGTTAAAGACGAAAGTAAAAGATCATTTGGAACCTTTATAAATGAATTGAAGAAAGTTATCAATTGCGAGGTTTTACCCGTAACTTTGATATTGGATGATCCTCTTGCAAACAGTTACATACAAAATCCAAATGCTCCAGGTATGTCTTTATTTGTTTATTTTTTTGCATATATACACGCTAAATATTAATCTGGAATAAATCATTAGATCCAGATCCAAATATGGAAATTGAAATGTATGAAAGAACATGGGAACAAAATGAAGTTTTAGGTTTACATGATATGAACGTGGACAATTATGAAGAAAGCAACAAAAATCAATAATTATAACAACAAATTAATAGTGTTGACAACAACAATAACTATTGTTTATTTAATAAAACTCCTTGGGAAAGTATTTTTATATACAAAATGGTTTGCATTACATCAAAAATATTAACACAATTAAAAATTATATAAATAAATAAATAAATAAAATAATGTATATGTATATTAACATTTATGTATAAATAAAATATGTAAATTAAATATATAATATAATTAAAAATATGTATATAAAAAAAATTTTATAAAATTTATCCATCTAATCTATATTTATATGTATATTTTATATGAATTGAAAATTTTAAAGTCTATTTGAGGAAATAAATGTGATTAATCATCATGTAATAATTCGTTATTCATCAAGAATATTGCTTCTTCTAGTGTCATTATTAATGTCATTCCTAGTACTATCATCATTGTAATCAATGTCATCAGTATCCTTATCACCAGTGTCATTAACAGCGTCACCTTCATCACCTCCATTATTGACACTATGTTCAACATTAACATTGACATTAGCATTATGTTCATTAACATTGACATTAACATTATGCTCAACATTAACATTATCATCAACATTAACATTATCAACAACATTATCATCAACATTATCATCAACATTATCATCAACATTATCATCAACATTATCATTATCATCAACACTATTATCAACATTGCTATCATCAACATTGCTATCATCATCCTCTTCACCGTTTTCTTTTTTTTTGTTGGCAGCAGCAATAAGTTTTGTAAAGGTTTCTAATTGATTTTTAAGATCTTCATTATCAGGATCAATATTAACGGCCTTTTTTAAATCATTTAATGCTTCTTCATACTGCTTCAGCTTGAAAAAAGTTAAACCTCTTTCACGCAAAGCAAGCACATTTTCCGGTTCTCTAATCAACACCTTATTAAAGTCTGTCAGAGCTTCAAAATATCTTTTTTGGTAAAGGTAAATCGATCCTCTATTACACAACGCTTTATTCTCATATTCGTTGTTGAATGCTCTGTCCCTGACATTGCTTAAAGCCTCGTCCAGATCCATCAATGCTTCAGAATAATGACCAAGTTTTTTATATATTGCTCCACGTATTGATAATGGATAGTTCCAATGTGGTTTCACTTTAAGAACTATATTCACATCTTGTATTGCATTTTCGCATTTATCTAATTCATACAACACCTCACTACGATAGCACAATGCCCAATGATTATCCGGTTTGGATTGTAACACTTTATTCAAATCTTTCAATGCCTCCGCCCGCTTTCCTAACATGTGAAATAAAGAACCTCTAGTTTCTAAGGCTAGATCTTGATTTGAATCGATTTCTAATGCCAAATTCAAATCAAGCAATGCCTCCTGATATCTTTTCAACATATGGTAAACAGCTCCACGATTGGCTAGGGCGAATACGCTATTATGTTTCAATTTTATAGCCTTTTCCAGATCTCTTAATGCCTCTTCATATCTCCTAAGGGTTCTATTTACAGCACCACGACTTTCTCTTGCCAATACATTATCAGGTTCGATTTCTATAGCTTGATTCAAATCATTCAATGCCTTATTGCCATCATTTAACATACGATGAACTTCACCTCTACTGGTCAAAGCAAATACATTACCAGGTTCAAGTTCTAATGATCTATCAAAATCCAATAGAGCCAGATCGAATTTTTGTAATAATCGATATACTTCACCCCTTCCTCTTAATAAAAATGCATCGTCCTGATTAATTGATAATGCATCGTTGAAATCACTTATTGCCTTTTCATAATTACCCAATAATCGATTTATCTCGCCTCGTTGTCTTAACAAACTTAAATCATTTGGGCTCAATGCAATTCCATAATTAAAATTTATCAAAGCTTCCTTATATCTACCCATTCCTTGAAATATCTCGGCTTTATTCTTGTAAGCAAGTACATTGTCTTTATCAAACAATAAAATATTATCGAAATCTTTTAATGCCTCATATTCGTATTTCCTGCCCAATTGACGAAGTAGAGTACCTCTTTTTTCCAAAGTTATTAGATTACTATCGTCTATTTCTAATGATTCATTGAAACACTGCAATGCTTCTTCAAATTTATCTATTATAAAATTTATTTCGCCTTTAGTTGTTAATATGTATGCTCTATTAATTTTATCAAATTTCAATGCCTCATCTAAATCTCTTAAAGCATTAGAGTACGCGTAGAGAGTTTTATAGACTTTAGCCCTTTTTATGAGAACAAACGAGTCATTTGGTTGCAATTCAAAAGCTCTATTCAAATCATTGATCGCATCATGGTATTTTTCTTTGGAAAAATGAACTTCAGCTCTGATTTTTAAAGAGTAGGTATTTAGTGGATTTAGTTTGATTGATCTCTCCAAGTCTTGGTAAGCATCATCATATTTACGCATCAGTCTATGAGTTTCACCTTTTAGCGCCCATGCTCTAGCATTGTTTGGGTATCTTAATGTAGCAGCATTTAGATCTTGTAATGATAAAATGTGTTCTCCTAATTGTAAATAGGCATAGGCTCTATCACATCTTATTGAGTAGCTGTTAGGATAATTCTCTAATGATTCAGTGAAAAAAATTATTGCTTGTTGATAATTTTTATTTTTTAAGTATTGAATTGCTTGGATGTGTGTCGGGTCATTTTTTTTAGATCTTCTGAAAAACTTAGTAAGACTAATCGATTTAGTTTTATGCTTTGGTTTGGGATTACTGATACCACTATTATTAATAGGATTGTTATAGTTATTGCCATAATTATTGGGGGAATTATTATTGTTAACAGCGCTACCAGTATTAATATCAGCACCAATATTATAATAATAAAAACTATTGTTGCTATTACTGCTACCACTACTACCACTACTACCAGCACGAGTATGTTTATGTGGCAAACCATTCCCTACTGTTGTTGTTGTTGTTGTTGTTGTTGTTGTTGTTGGAGCTGCTGTTGTCGTGTCAATATAAACGTTTTGAGCTGACTTATTTTTAAATAGTAATATATTTTTAAATGACTTGTATGATTTAAACGAATTTAAAGATGATGAGGTAGATTTTTTTGATCTAACTGAGCCAGCTAACGATTCACTAGTTGAAGGTCTTCTTGAGCCTAACGTTTTTTTTGTTGTTGATGGTGATGCATTGGTGCCGATACTGTTATTCAACTTGTAGTAATAAAATCAATTAGAGGTACAAGAAGAGAAAAACGATTGCAGAAAAACAAAAAATAAATATCATTATAAACTTACAATGATATCAGGAGGAATATCATTTTGATAATTAGTATGATGAGTTGGAGGAGCTTTATAAAATGGAAAAGTCATGTTTGCATCTCGCATTTATTCAAAAAAATTTCACTTTATAGAATGTTTATGGAGATATATGTGTGTATGTATATGTATGTAAAAAAAAAATTAAAAAATAAAAAAAAAAAAAGGAAAAATGAAAAAATTTTATTAGATTTATAATTGTTTTTTTTTTTGTAAAGATATTTATAGTAATTTGATTCTAATAATTTGTAGTGTAACATTTTACAATATGATCCAATATATATATATCATTGATTTAAAAATAACAATATACATATATATTGTTGAAATCCTATCCCAGAAATCACACTGATCTTTCTACAAACAAATTATTATTTATGCACATTATATATATGTTTGAATTATCCCAATATTGGCGTTTTCAATATTTCTTGACCTATATGATTCCGGAATCTCTAACATTCATCTTACAACAAAGGTATATGCGTAAATCAAATTTCTTTCTGGAATTTTATTAATTTTATTTTGAAAAAAAAATTCTATACACCCGATCATGTGTAATGTACGGAGGCCAAAATCCCTACTTAAAAAACAAGTACAGGGAGATGAATATATTAAAAATTACCCGATTAACAAAAGGTATCACTGCAGAACTTTGCAGAATATTTGTCACGCACGATATATATCGACTTTCTCATACGTAATCAGCGTTCGAAATCCAACTGCGCCTTAACATAAATCTAGTCTAATTTTAGAATTTATCTGCATTGGATTTCTAGATTGGTTAGCGTGCGCCAATTCCGCCGATTGAACTTCGAACACTGTCGTAATAATAATTATACAGTTTCAATTTTTTTAATACTTGGCACAAATTTACATGCTAACTTATACATTACAGGCATAAATTTTGCAATACATTCAAATTATTTATAACAAACTCATTGCTGAAACCTATAATCAAAGTACAGTGCAACATGACGATCATTTGATTTGAAGATCTTAAATGGAAATTCTTCAACTAGTATTGTTTCCAAGTGTATAATTAACCTGAAATGATGAAATATATCAAAATAAAATTTCATTGGTTGGTTGATCTTTTTAATATGGGTAAAATATTATTTTAAAAAAAGAAAACGGTTTTTTATAGGGACAATGGAGCTTCTTTTTTCAGTATTAGCATTTGCTTCTTTCCTAGCGAGAAAAAATCTTATATGTATTAATATATATATATACCAATAAAATTACGTAATCCACTTGAACTGATTTGAATAAATTCAGTAATTAATCTCTCTTTATTATATTAAACTTTATCCAATCCCAATACCAAATATTTTCTTCGTTATGATATTTTAGTAAATCTCGTATACCACCTGTAATAATTCCTACGCTTGTACCCATTATACAAGCATATTTGGTACTTTGTTTTGGCAAACGATCTAAAAAATCAAAAAATCAAAAACTTGGAAAAATTAATCACCCAGATAAATTATTTATAATACAGTTCACACTCTCTATAACGAACCCTCTGTCCCTATATGTAATTTCTCTGCTTTTGGTCGTTATAGAGAGAGTTTATTAAGATGGTCGTTATAGAGAGAGAAATTAATTATAAAAAATTGAAACGGGGACAAAAGGGAAGTTCGTTATAGAGAAATTTTACTTAGTGGCCGTTATAGAGAGGGTCGTTATAGAGAGAGTAGACTGTAATCAAAATAATTCAAAATAATACATACAAATACTTGAAAATATTATACTTGTAGATAATCCAGCCAATGTTGTGTTAAATATATCATCTTCTTTTCTCATATAATCTAAAGAATATTCTATTCCACCAAAGCATAAACATATTCCACCAGTATTCCTAGCGTATTTAAACCCTTGCTTTAATCCACCTAATATCATTCTATAATTTTTATATTTATGATAATAATACCATTTTTCTTTTGTTTTGGGTAATTTATGAACACGTTCTGCTAAATATTGTAACCCACTAAATTTAGCTCCTTCATATCCTCCAAAAAATAGTCCCCATACTGCTCCTATTAATGTTATGGTGAGTAAACGCTCTTTAGGATCTATCCTTGTCCTTTCTATATTGTTTTTTAATGTTGCAGAAGAAGTTGAAGAAGTTGACGCCATTTCCATAAAATTTTATTTTTGTAAAAAAGATTTTAATGCGCAGAAAATTCATTATTTATACCTTTCCATATCATGTGATTATGACGTTTCCCTGAATTTTTAATCCAATAAAAATTGTTGTAGATTTTTTTTTATACTAGTATTAATAATTCATTTACCTAAAATCAACATTTGATTTTCAAAAGGTAAAATTTATGATTATTATTATCAATTTATTAATTACACTCTTTTTTAATCACTCACTCTTATTTCTCCGGCTAGTTTGATTTTATTTAAAAAAAAAATCAACCCCTATTTGAGCCGTTCCTTTCATTTATTCTTTACATTTGTTTCTATTTGTTATTATATTCATTATATCAAAAAATTACTTTTACATATATCAAACAGATTTAATAAAAATACTTGTTAAAATCCATTAATCCATCCATAATCAATTAATATTTTTATTTAACCTGAAATATTAAATATTTATACATTTATCAGAATAAGCTTACTTAATCATGCAATCAGTTTATAGATTAGTTGAGACAGTAAATCAATTTTACAGAGAAATCAATCCTGCGACTCTTTCTGGTGCGATTGATGTAGTTGTTGTGCAAAAACCGAATGGTGAGCTTGCTTGTTCTCCATTTCACGTTAGATTTGGAAAACTTTTAGTTTTGATGCCACAAGAAAAAAAAGTAAATAGATATTCACATATTTGATTTATTATTATTACCATTACTAAACTCGCATATTTAATAATAAACTTTTTTAAAATGTCATTTAAAGGTTGAAATTACAGTTAATGGTAAAGTTGTTGATTTTCCTATGAAAATTGGTGAAGCTGGTGAAGCTTTTTTTGTATTTGAAACTGAAAATAATGTTCCAGAAGAACTTCAAACTTCTCCATTAGTGGGTCCTACGCAATCATCTCCAAATGAAGAAGTAATTAGTTATTAATTTATTTGTTTTTTGATTATAATATTTATTGTTAAAATTTTCTCAATTAATTAATTGTTGACTTGATAACATTTTAAAGGAATTGGATTTTTTAGACTTAGGTGGTGGTTCATCAAATGACCTATCATCAAAAAAGAAAGATCAAGGTGAGAATTACACACACACATATATTTATATAATCATTATAAATTAATTGAGAAATTTTATTATCTAGATTTTAACACGGCTATTGTAGATGAACCAGAAACTATTGATTATATTTATGGGGTTGGTGGTGATGGTAGTGACTCAGTTTTAACCGATTCTAACATCACTGTTACTCCAACTTCTGATGACGTCACTGTTAATGATGAATCAAATCTTTCAAAAGAATTATACGATCCAAACTGTAATCTAGATCAGAAATTAAAATTTGATAATGATAATGATTTAAATACAAACTTAGTTTCTGATAAAATTAATGAGTCAATAAATGGCCGCGGTGACCGCCCCTTTGATCATCTGTTTGGGAATAAAGATGATGATGAGAACGAGAATCAGAACGAGAATCAGAATGAGAACGAGAACGAGAACGAGAATCAGAACGAGAATCAGAATGAGAACGAGAACGAGAACGAGAACGAGAACGAGAACGAGAACGAGAATCAGAACGAGAACGAGAACGAGAACAAGGATGATAATGATGATGGTGGTGGTGGTGATAATAACGGTAATGATGGCGGTTATGATGATGATGGTGATGATAGTAAGTAGATTTTTTTATAATAAATAATAGAGTGGTGATTAATTGGCTGAAGTTGGTCTGGCTAATAATTAAATAATAATAATGATATATGTAATATAATGTGGATGTAGATGTGGATGACAAGGATCAATTGAATAGTTTAAATGAAAAGAATGATGATGCAGCATCAGAAACTTATAAAGATAATATTAAAAACATTAATTCAAATGAGAATAATGGTGAGGAAATAATCATCCATAATTATAATTATTAATTCAAAAAAAAAATAAAATGGTAATAATATATTTGTCAATTATTACTATTCAAAAATTTAGAAAACATAAATCTAGGGAAAATTTTTGATCAATTACCGAATGATCAAAATCATTTAATCTATGAAAATGCCAGCAAAAGGAATCGAGAAAGAACTTCATCCGTCACTTCGATCCATCAAAATTGTTCGTGCGTTCTTTTATGTTATCAAATTTTTTTCTAATAATTTTTATTTTTATTTTATTTAATAATAAAATAAAACTTTTATCAATTTATATATATTTGTATATAGGGGGGAAACCAGAAGGTCCATTTTCTGATACTGAATTAGATGAGACACGAAAACCAGAAAAACCGTATGTGGAAAATTTTTTTTTAAAATTAAGATAAAAATTTTAATAACAACAATTCGATTGACGATATTATTATTAGTTTAGAACGAAGGATGAATAATAAAACTAGTCCTTTGAGTGATACTGAATTAGAGTATGAGCATAATAATCCACCAAAAGATTCTGAAGAATGGTCATGGGGCTGGGGTACACTTCCTGTAAGAAAATCAGAAAAATTTGAACATTGGCAAGATGATGATGCTGAAGATAAAAAATGGGATAAAGGGGAAAATGAGGATGGAAACAGTTCAGGTTTTGAAATTGACGGGAAAAAATATCACTTTGAGATGTCGTTGTGTAATAAAAATGCTTTTGGAAGTGATCTAGTTAGTATTAATTTTATTATCTTTATTCTTTTTTTAGTTTCAGGTTTAGGTAAAGCTAATTAAGATACCTTTTGGTTTTTAAAAAAAATTTTCTTTATTTAAGCAAACTGATGCAGAATTATTTCGTCAGAATTTAGTTACTTATGAACAATTTTCTCAAAATCCTCAAATATTAAGTGATAAAACACTAGTTGTCAAATTTAACAACAAGTAAATATACAAAATATAACGACTATATTATTGATAAGTAAATGAATGGAGTATTCCTTAATTTTATTTTAAAAAAAAATATTATAATTATCATAAATTTTTAGTTATTATTCTTGGTCTACGGCTGCACCAATAATTGCTTCACTTTTGATTTTCAAGCAACCACTTCCAGAATCGACAATGGCATCATTGGCTAACAATAGATTAGAACCTGATCGCCGGAGATATAGTTTAAGAGAATGGAGTAGATGGTGGAGTCGTTCTTCAAGTATAGAACGTCCAATAAATAATATTAGGGATAAAGAAAAAGCCATACAAGAAACTGAAAAGGTTTTTTTTTATTTTCAATTTAAATTTTGAATTTTGATCTTATAAAAAAATTGGGGAATTCTTTTTACTCTCTAATTAACTACATTATAATACATATATACATATATTTGAACCTTAAATGTTTAGGATCAAAATAAATCAAAGAAGTTTTATGCAAAAACTTTACGTCTAACTTCAGATCAATTAGTAAGTCTTGCTTGATATATATATGTTTTTATAAATTCGTATTCCTTAAAAAATAAATAAAATTTATATTATTATTAGAAAAGTCTTAATTTGAAAAAAGGGATGAACACTATTATATTTTCTGTTGCTTCTTATAAAGGAAAAGCAACTTGTGCTGCTAGAATTTTTTTGTGGGATTATGATACTAAAATAGTGATCTCAGATATTGACGGAACTATCACAAAGTAATAATATTTAGAATTATTTATTTATCGAAGAAATGATTATTAACATATATTTACATATTTAGATCCGATGCTCTTGGTCATGTATTTGCAATGATTGGCAAAGATTGGACACATTCTGGTGTTGCTAAATTATACAGTGATATAAGAAGAAATGGTTATCAAATTTTATATTTAACTAGTCGTGCAATAGGACAGGTAATATATAAATAAATATTTTATAAATTTATATGCGTATATGTTTATATCTTTGTACATATCATTTTAGGCAAGTTATACTAGAGGATATTTACAAAAAGTTGAACAAGGTAAATATCAACTACCAGATGGTCCTGTCATAATGTCACCAGATCGATTATTAACCGCTTTTCATAGGTAATTAATTAGTTACTTATTATTTATGATCATGATTATTACGGTTTACTTTAACAAAACGAAATATTTTTATTATTAGAGAAGTGATAATGCGAAAACCAGAAGTTTTTAAAATGTCATGTCTACGTGATGTTAAAAAATTATTTGATGATCATAATCCTTTTTATGCTGGATTTGGTAATAGGATAACGGTATGTGTGCAATATTTTATTAATATTATTAAATTTAATTATACTTATAATTATTAATGTATATTGTTTTTTGTTTAGGATGCGTTATCTTACCGAAGTGTAGATATTCCATCTTCACGAATATTTACAATAGGATTTAATGGTGAAGTGAAATTGGAATTATTGACGGGATACAAATCAACGTAAGATATTCATGTGCAAATATAATAATAATAATAATAATTATTATTATTATTATTATTATTATTATTTCTATTAATATTATTTATTTTTTATATATATTTATGTATGTAGATATGTCGATTTGACAGATTTGGTGGATCAAATGTTTCCACATGTTGATAGCAAAGAATGGGACACAGTATATAATGATTGGAATTATTGGAAACCACCATTACCAGAAGTTGAAATACCATCTGAAATATTCAACACTGTCACATCAACTCCTTCATCGCCGAAAAGTCAATCCGTTGCTATGACAAGTTCACCTAGTTTAGGAATGATTAGAAATTTAGCAGGTAGTATAAAGAAATCTAGTAGTAGTAATACTGCTACAATAACAACAACAACAACAACGACTACTTCCCAACAACGTTATTTAACATCATCATCATCTTCGACATTATTATCGACATCATTATCATCATCAACGAAACAAAGTATTGATTTACTTTCTTCTTCTGCACCTGGAACCCTTGAAACATTAAGTAAACATGCTTCTACAAAATCTATTGCTAAATCTGTAAATTCTGCCAATAATAGTAAAAGGAAAAATAATGGTCATAAAAGGAAAGAATCAAAAGAAAGGAACACAGTTTTTATTGGAGGTGATGTTGATATGCCAGGTAGAATGGATATTTTAATGACTGACAGTGATGATAATGATGATGATGATGATGATATTGTTGATGATGATGATATTGGTGATGATGGTAATGGTGATAAACAACAAATTTCAAATAATGATAACATAAACAAGCTTACTCCCAAAAATTCTAATTCTAATAATAATTTAGGTTATGATGATGAAATTGATGATGGTGATGACGAGGGAAGTGATGATGGGGATGGGGAAGAGGAGGAAGAAGAGGAAGAAGAAAAAGAAAGCGATTTTGAAGAAGATATACTTGACCGAATAAATGAACCTTATTAAATTAAAATTAAAATTTTTTTTTGTATTATTAATTTTTTTTTCTTTGTATTAATATATATTATTTTTTATAGAAACGTATTTTTTTATTTTTGCAAATAATAATAATTAATTTTCCGCTTGATTATTTTATAAAAAAATAGAATTTGAAAAAAAAAAGAATAATAAAATTAGTGATTTTGTTTAATTATAATTACGATTATTTTTCCGACTTTTCTTCTACAAATAATTTGGCGCATTAACCAGGATCCCTGATTATCATAGCGACATTGGTATGACTTTATTCAGCCAATTAAAACAACAAGTATGGTTAGTAGGCCTTTAAATGGACTAACATTATGTTTTTTATACAATTCAATAATTCCCGTCTTTAATTCTAATGCTTTTGCTGGGTTATTTGATTCTTTAGCTTTTTAATTGTTCATCCAGTGTGTTGAATTCCAGTTGAATTATCTGAAATTTTGCAGCATGGGGCTGTGAACTGACTAAAAAAGTAAAAAAGGCATACACAATAAAGACAATAAAAGTGTTGCTACTGATGTAACATGTAATGTTTCTAGTAACTCTTCAATAAGTCCTACTGGTGTAGAATTCACCTTTTCAAATCGCCAATTTTCATAACTGTTTCGGCTAATATATTATCTATAAAGAAGAATTTGTTATAGAATAAAAATGAAATGATTTTATTATTTTAATTGGTTTAATTGATTGTTTTTTTGTAAAGATTTAACACTTATAATGTTACTATATATGTTGTTGTTGTGGCAGCAATAGTTGTAGTATTAGTAATAATGTTGGTAATTATTGTTGAAATTGTATACTAATATATCCAATAACAAATTGTTTTCTGATGAAATTATAATTATAAAGATAATTAAAATTAACTCATTAATCAAAATTTAAAAGTACTGTTAGCGAGTGTTGTTGATATAAACTAATTGAATTGTCGAAAACCAAAACGCGTTAAAAAAGATTTAATTAAATTTTGCAAAATACTTGTACCATTGTTTATTTAATATATTTGAATTATGGATAAATAATATATGTTTTCAATAAAACCTCTAGTTTTATTCTTTTCGCGACATCTTTAAATCCTAAGATAAGAGCTTATGAAATGAGATCGAAAAAGAACCGATTTTGAGTTACAAGACTACTTATTACCTTCAAAGAATGGAACGTTGAAAGGCATAAGAACTGATACAGACTATCCTCATGTGTACTTTACTTAATAGGTCTCCCGTCGTTACAGTGATTTCTCCAATTCATTTTTTATAATTAACTTTTATTTGTCTCTTTAAAAAGAGAAAAAATTATATATTAATATGGTACGCTCTAATAAGCTTTGACAGTTTTTCTTTAAAAAAAATCGCAGCAGTGAAGGGCTTAGGGTGTGTTTCATTTATAATGTACGTTTACCATGATAAACTTTGGGTGGCTGTGTTATGGAATCCTCTAACGATTTTATAACACGTAAAAATTGTTCTTTTCAGTCGAATCTCCTTCTTCAGCCATAATAAAAATAAAAATATAAATTAAAAATATAAATAATTTTTTGGGGTTTTTTTCAAAATAATTAAAATGAAAAAATTTAAATTTTGCACATTTTTAATTTTTTCGATTTTTATATTTATCTCGCTAATAAAAGCTTGGGGACAAGGTTCATTATTATAATAAATTAGAATATATATGTCTATATAATACGGAATAAAATAAATTCAATAAGTTCAAATTTTTTTATATCCTAAAATAAAACAGAGGATCACGAAATATTTGATTTGGTGGACGATTTAGAAAATGCAGAAGGGGAAGATGTAACTTTTTATTCATGGCTTGGAGTAAAACCTACAGCTAGCGAGAAGGAAATTAATAAAGCGTATCGTAAATTATCTTTAACTTTACAGTAAGTTTATTTGTATATTATGATAATAAATACATGTAAAATCTTAATGATTTTATTATTGGTAATTTTTATTTAGCCCGGATAAAAATCCTGATAAAGATAGCAAAGAAAAATTTTCTAGATTAGGTTTAATAGGTGCAATTTTGCGTAATTCAGAGTCAAGAGAACGATACAATTTTTTTCTAAAGAATGGAGCACCAAAATGGCGTGGTACTGGCTATTATTATAACCGTCATAGACCGGGACTTGGTACTGTAGTAATATTTTTATTAATGCTATCATCATTGTTTCATTATGTTATCATGTGGATAAACTATTATCGGGACAAGCAATGTGTACGATATTATATACAAGAATCGAGAGAAATCGCCCGGGGTAAAAGAATGAAAAAACAAAACACTAGGAAAAAAATTTTTGTTAATGAAAAGAATTTCATTGTTGATTATGATAATGTTTTCTTGTTGACTAAAGATGGCAAACAATTTATTATGGATGAGAATGAAATTGAGAAACCAAGAATTTTGAATATTTTTGTATTTTCAATCCCTATTTTAATTTATAAAAAACTAATTTATAGTAATAA